TAAAGACAGAGTTTTTCCAAATCTCCACTGTGGCCGGAGTTTTCAGTTATGATTGTGACTTGTCGCTTTGTTAACGTGTAAAGCAAAAGCCCAAACACACTGAAATATCACCATTTTTGCTACGTGTAAATAAGGCCTAAATCATTCTACACAGAAAACACATTTCAGTTCTACTTCTAGCCATGGTTGTGTTGTTTCTGTAGAGGTGCAGGACTTTATATTGCAGTGAAAAATGAGCCCACAGTGAAGAAAAATGTGACAGGAACAAAAAAAAAAAACCTTCCAAAACAATTTGAACTTAAGAGGGTTAGCCACCTAAACACAAAAAACTGGGAACTCTTTCTTCAAGACTACGTGACAAACCTGGAAATAAAGCTCCAAAAAGATAGCAAAATGTGCACCAGTGTATTTAATCCAAAGATTTCTGAAATTCATGAAATACTGCCATTAATGTTATATTAATTTAACACATCTTTCTGTCACTCCTCCAGACCAACGCCATCAAGACCTCCAAGTACAACCTGTTCACCTTCCTACCTCTCAACCTGTTTGAGCAGTTCCAGCGGATCGCTAACGCCTACTTCCTCTTCCTGCTGGTGCTCCAGGTGAGCAGAGAATAAAACGCATGACTTTCATCCAACCGTCGGGCAAATTTTATGCAAAAATCTGTCTGATAGTGAAACGCACGGGAGAGGTTTGTTTCCTTTTCGGCTGGTTGAAGAGATATTGATTGTTTGGCACATTTGCAAGAAAAGAATGATTATAAGGAAATGTTTGTAGGAAACAGTGAGTCAGCTGTGCTCCTGATTTATCCCAGAAACTAATTAGAGAAAAACCCTCTGGAACATATTTTCATCTCTGATCCTCTGGATCAACTAAATAAACATTTTAAACTGCAATTTTTAGTGGTCATTATGTTTTGTGTTGTACATTTTTAAACCATGAAGATTTGATTGGTTGTCTGGCATCAGTGTTTAACACCAGCAGAAACCAGGAACAGAGACAAATGTTGGTTCATGCAATGCAGGAAAAACCTCCTGTCAGTTGGTGTTCAAACATTATTTGCAGTTTTTAATTTTTTTGTTGCAATTTTTTCTGACAGATAAAAACTCAAAGTCAAGCTTCGATTCAGTATTTATTGTGCAATAGATTTAAAATGCGATGGATCATCACCACGACGGATACAATCAGAAGTGCAGCTGTCAGATAAGCAGAGCAGCATGAATTTGTGAAACCATGGACCTGACATTTAGATGTGCAGCACGACATTTATTCTGAGTTCCAGCCTTTGCAGTTTGCTACTTGCATTGTTTCAGTTTGCGACTTTGAAATTGATTAACCGTGACGCCCCATTGTTACGTTCTCAGTGCGGAAATGTTTTCACTGTGTGACGCCTGCAGAAATTCCACAGATGCATATGTGGAAAGTTTAATGTCGTGCATAAATTGCATTACTTTCCATTGACAATCCCACAATGCACTGCAGCAGACCACAAAAACACGACGATTCATAACCCGACTTACTGTTGACTCGTGAGTAACCGGCCATCTGTTAAATGAAGTAATCAATGAAGTGAATAAAGGGAGGATTTTGGACACGGTGTGGATGAAAATGCAGAATCAATATTCATAAATATAACATTAGTTGTTTAACCAGTGACAGCAGATACAGACTTTGTTTATTTTTAACACTAAATATGTGCAGCTTTGTTGACACTTTCAGCAACCAGAAATTATTGTGGTTTCCAGAATTAAAGCTGACATTTTCTCCCACTCAGTTGCTGGTAGTCAACAACAAACCACTTGAAACCTCAGTATATTTTATTTTTCTTTACTATATTGTTTTTTGTGACCTGTCCAGGGTGTCCCCTGCCTTCGCCCTAAGTCAGCTGCGATAGGCTCCAGCCCCCTATGACCCTAATGAGGATTAAGTGGTGTATAGATGATGGATGGATATAGTTTTTTGTATTCAGATTTGTCTTTGTGGTTGTCTTATGCGTTGCTACAGTCATCCTCAAATGTATTCCTACCCTCCAATTAAAGAAGGAAAAAAAACAGCTGTCACTGAAATAAGTTGAAATTGACAAAAGTAATAATAAATGAAATTTAATGAAAATCATGACATTGCTTTTGAATTGTGGTTCAACAGAGATGGAAACAAGCAAACAAAAAAAAACAACACACACACAATCCTACAAGTATTATGCGACCTATAAACTAATATTTTGTTGAACAACCCTTTGAGCCAATCACTGCAATCAAGTGTTTTCTGTAACTCTCAGTCAGACTTCTGCACCTGTTGATAGTATTTTGATTCTGGCCCACTGCTCATCAGCAAAGTGCTCTCATTTGTCCAGGACAGTTATTTATTTATTTTTTAATTCTTCTTTTCAGGGGCACCTAGTTGAGCGGGTGACCCATGAACAGGGGCTGTAGTTCCCCGATGCAGTGCTCATAGGTTCGACTTCCACTCACGACCCTTTGCTGCAGATCTCTCCCCATTCTTCTCCCCCCTTTCCTGTGTCTCTCTACTGCTGTAAATAAAAAGGCAGCAGCCCAAAAATACATTTAAATAAATTATTCTTTTCAACCACAATTCAAAAGCAATGTCTTATTTTTCTAAATTCTAATTTAGCAAATTTTTGTTTATTATTACTGTTTTCAGGTTCTAGTTATTTGAGTGACTATTGTGAACTTTGCCTTTTCTTTAATAATAGGGTATGAACACATTTGAGGACGACTGTATTTAAAATTGTGCATCACTTTGGTTTAACTCCTCTTGTTTTAATTAGCTTTATTAATTTATTTGACTTGACAGTTTTGATGAAACTCCCTCCTCTCCTTTGTACAAATACACCAAAATCAGCAAACACAGGTTCATAAAAGTTGTGTGTAGGTGGAAGATGAAATGAAAGAGAAGCTTTTTTTTTTTTTTTTAAACCCCACAGAACACCTTCAGATCAACCTGAAATCAAACTACTCCTCAAACAACTCCTTAAGTTGTTCACATTTATTTGGTTTTATTGTCGTAATCAGTGTCAGGCGTCTGTGCAGACATGCAATCCAGCACGTCCCGTCCACACCTCTCACACTGAAGCCGTGCGTTAACCGCACAGGATATGGACGAATCGAGGGCGATGAGAATTAAGGAAGTGTCATATCCAGTACAGGAAATTGCCTCATCGTGTGCAAACAGCCGCGTTGCACCACAACAAGTTTTCTGCAAAGGAACCGAAGCAGTTTCAAATGAATCAAAAACTAAACTTGTTTGTCAAATTGGTCTATAAATGGATGCTTATTTTGAGACTCCTTAATGCTGCTCTGCTCCCAATATGATGCCAGTAAAACTTTAAGTCGCAGTGCATTCTCCAGCGTAGTCTGAGCATGATGTTGTTGCTCTTAAATGTCAAAGTTATCTATAAACGGATGCCTTTTTTTGTCAGTTTACGAGTCTAAACCCACCAGAGTTTGAGACACATGACAGCAACTAGTACAGCCCTGTTGTTTGTACATGTAATGAACAAAAACTAACAGTAAAATGACTGGATTTGAATACATTTTTGTTGCCCTATGGTTTAATTTTGACCCAAATTTGTCTGGAATAGGACAGATCAGGAAAAATAGCAACAATACTGTCTAGTATGACACTGTTTGTTTTAGTTTAGGTCTTAATTTACCAAATAAAATGCACGCGCTCTTCTCTTTCACCCACTTTTCTTTACCGATATCTTTGAAGATACACCCACAGTTCACCACTTTCTTCCTGCTTCTTTCCATTCAGAGGATATCCTGCAGTTATTGTGTCAATCGTGTTAAAATCTACGTTTTATCATGTCTCTTTACCATTCTGTATTTTCCCTCCAGTTTCCTCTTTCTGTTGCATGCAAAACTAAACTGAATCAAACTAAAGACAGTGTTTCGATTGTGTTCGTCTGTTTGCCTTCAGGTGATTCCTCAGATCTCCTCTCTGTCCTGGTTCACCACCGTCGTGCCTCTGGTCCTCGTGCTGTCGGTCACCGCCGCCAAGGATGCAACCGACGATATCGTAAGCACATTTGATGATGACATCCTCTTATTTTTCATTTTAAACAAATTGGAAAGCGCTAAGAGAAACCGTTCAGTGCCAAATAATCTTCTATTTTGCTTATTTGATCAGTAGAAATGTTTAAATGCCCTGCAGATCTACTGTAATTCTGCATCAGAACACACAGTTTACTGTTGATTTACTCTTTAAAGCACACATCAAAGCACATTTCACTGCAGTTTTTACAGCCTGGCAACCTTTAAGAGGCCAAGTTTCAGGCTGTTTTTATCTGAAGAAACACCAGTGTGGGTTGGCGTACAATAATGTTTCCCAAAACTTCGGGTCACGCAGTAAAACGATTGCAACATTTTGGAAAAAGACAACCTTTTCAGTTTAAGAGCAACCTTTAAATGACCTCCAGTGATGTTTCCTAACGCAGAACGTCCTACAGATCATGTGAACAGAGATTAAAAAATGTTTGAGTGGCGAAGGTGGAAGTAATGTGATGTTGTTAGACTGAACAGAAACTCCCAAAGACCAAGATTTTACCAATTAGTGTTAACGTAGCTGTAACATATCATCTGGTGTGTTTGTATTTCTCTAAACCAATCAAAATCATCGTGGGTGGTGCTAAACTCAGGATGTAGCAATGGTAGTCCTGCAAAATGGTGACTGTTTTGGTGGAGCATTTGCATGCAGGGAGGTGAGAACTATATTTAAAATGGACAATTCACCCGAGAAACTAGCAGCGTTGTCTTACTGCACGATGCAGAAGTTCAGCAAAACCAGCCGTTCTCAGTCTGCTCGGAAGTTGTTGTTGTTGTTGTTGTTGTTTCCTAGAGTGAAGGGGATTTTAAAAGCAGTGATTCAAAGATAACAGAAGGGGAATAGAAAGCTGCATGAAATGTTCATCCAGTAAATCAGATGTTTTCAACTCAGCCAAGCAGTTTTAGCTTCCAAACATGGAGCCAGAGAAGGCTTTTAAGAAGCAGAAATGGAGCATGTCGATATTTTTTTTCCATTATCATCATCTCATTCTTTTAAAAATTAATTTATTTGTTCTTTTTATGCTCTTTTGCCCTTTATTTATTTACTTATGTATTTAATGTATTTACTTTTGCTATAATTATAATAATATTAATAATATTAATAACAATAATTATTATTGTTATTATTATTTATTTTTGTTGTTGTTGTTGTTACTTCTAGAATAGTGTTCATGGTTTTTGCCCTGTATTTTCGTTTGTTTCACTCGTTGATTTTCCTTACTTGGCTTTGGCATTTTTGGTTCTTTTGATATTTCATCTGGTGGTGTTGTATTCACTTAATTAGAAAATCTTTTACCATGTTTAACTCTATTGTTCCACTTTGGCCTCTCTGTTTTTTTTTTCCTTCCGTTTGGACCGAGATTCTTTTTGTTATTCAGTAATCTTCCTGAGTATCCTCCTCTTCTTTTTTGCCCTGTCTGTAACGCACTTTGCAACATAAATACAAGTTGTTTTTATTATTTTTATTATTATTATCATTAGTAGTGGTAGTAGTATATAGCATGGTACTTTAGACATGATGGCTCCTCTAAACGTTCAGTAAGTAAATCATCAAAACTCTCACAAATTAAGAAAACTTATTCACCATTTTGACAGCATGTTTGCAATATTTAGAAAGCTGTGAAGTAAGAGAACGCAACCAAACACTGAAACCACAACAGAAATCCGTCTCAAAGCGACTGTCTGCAGGAGGACGCTAAACAACAATGAACCCGTCTGGACAAGGTTGAGATGAAATCCCAGCTTGCAGTCTAAGATTTAAACATGAAATTGTCTAGACCTAACTGACATCATGGGATAAATGATAGGACAACTCTGTTGTATTACCTTAACAACGACAAAACATGTTTAGTGCTGTTTCTTCTCGGCCAAGACTCTTAAGGGAAAGCATATTTCAGTTTGTCATCATGGCATCGGAGGACGAACAACTCCACACAGTTCTGGCAGTGAATCACCAGTGAGCTATGTGTTTACACTGACATGCAAACCTCGTTTTTTCTTGTTAAGTTTGCGGTCGCTTACCACATTGTCCTCCCCTGGCTCTTGTCTTATTTTTAAGTTTGTCAGTTCCTTTCCTCGCCTCCTCTCCTCGTGTCTCCGTCCTCCTACCACAGGGATTGAGGCAACATCAGTTAAATGTGACCATTTCTCATCTATTGTTGCAGTATAAAGGTGTTCATGACAACTTAAAACATATATTTGCTTTTTATTTAAATCACAATGTGCCATAATATGACAAGAAAGTCAGAGATTTTTTTGGTTTTTTAGTTTTCTTTCATTCTCTGAACCACCAAAACCATCTTATTTTTCTTTAAAATCCCCCAAATTACACCATTTATCAGAGGCAGAAACGGAGATAGTCGTTGAACTACTCGTCTGTGACATGGGAAAATGATCCAAATCTCAGTTTATAATTATGACAAAAATAAATTTATTCTGCATGTCTCATTTTAAAAAAAAAATGCCACATGTGAACTATTTGCTCGAACTAGATTCTGTATTAAAAAAATAATAATAGCAACAAATTCTGCACTCCTTTGTGCAACTGTAAAGCATGTAGAGATTCAGCTGCAGTTAACAGGCGTATGACAAAAATGTCGGGGCTTCTGGGCTGAACTGCAGGCTGTGCTTATACAGAGCAGAGAGGAGACACGTATGATAACAACATAAATGAACATGTGAGCAAGTAAAACATCTATAGTGAGTGTTGGTGGCACAGTTTGCAAACATGGTGTACATGTTGATGACAGGTTTTTTTTTTGTTTAAAACAAGCCATATATTACTCAAGAAATCCTAATGACGTTACAGAAACATGCGGTGCCCAGTGGAACAGCACCTGAAAAATGAAGCATACATGTTGTACAAAAGTAAAATATTCTAATGATAAATGAGCCCACAGTGAATAAAAATGTGTCAGGAGACAGAAAAAAATGTCCTGTGGATTCAGAGGGTTAACATGCAGATACACACACCTACATACTGTGAAGTATGAGGGTTGGTAACACAATAAAAGACTACGATATAAATATAGAGCCACATACAGGTTTATTATGATTGAATTATATATTATATACACACATGGTCTTTGTTGCTCCAATATGTGCATCATGTCACGCCTCTTTTATTCGTTAGTAAGACTTCCACAAAGTCATACATTGAAGATATCTTGTCTCATAGCTCCTCTACAAGTTTCCTCTTTCCCCAAAATGCATTTAAGGAAATCAAGACTTTTACCAAAATGATGCTTCAGATCGATTTCTGGCAGGAGAGCGAAAGATGGAGACGGCTCAAAATAGAGAAATGAGATGAGTGTCCAGTATCTCAATGTTAAATGAACTGTGGTTTATTCCCCCAAAGCAAAGAGTGCAGGAAAGCAGACTTGGAAAGTCCACATAATGAGCTCAAAATTAGAAAGCCCTCATGAGACAGAACAGTGAAAAGATGTGTGTGGACTTAACGGGAACAAGCCTTAAAGCCTGAGTCCAGGAGAGTTGAGATTGGAGCTGGGTGTGGTTTACTTTCTCCCATGGAAAATGAGTTAAAAAGTATTTTTAAACACTCTGATCACATGATTCACATAGTATGTGCATTATGTGACGTCTGCAGTGTTTCAGTATGTGCAGCACATGTCCTCAGATTGGTGATATTCTCTTCATTTGCTTGTGTTGAATGTATTTTCTTCCATCACGGTGATTTAAGTTGTCAGGGCCACTAGAAGTATGCCTTAATTTCTCATTTCCACATGACTGACCTCTAGCTAGTCATGTGAAAAGATAAAGGTAAGTTAAGATAACACATTTACTGCCTGATCCAGCGGTGATAATGTATAATTCCAGATATCGTCCTCGTGTATTTTTCCAGCTCTTTCATGTTTTTTCATGTTATCTCCTGTTGCTGATAATCTCCATTTGTGGGGAAACAGCTCGTTCATTGTCATCAGCAGTCACTTCGTCAACACTTCACCCTCCACTGATCTCCCTACAGGCAAACACCACACACATTTGTGTGTTTTGCAGCTTGTGTCTCTGTTTTATGAATATTGAACCAACTGACTCCTGGGCTGCAAGGTGGCTCAGTGGTTAGCATCGTTGCCTTGCAGCAAGAAGGTCGCCGGTTCGCGTCCCGGTGAGGACACCCGGGATCTTCCTACGTGTTCACACATGTTGAGGTTAATTGATGATTCTAAACTGTCCATAGGTGTGAATGTGAGTGTGCTTGGTTGTCTGTCACTAAGTGTAGCCCTGTGATAGACTGGTGACCTGTCCAGGGTGTCCCCTGCCTTTGCCCTGAGTCGGCTGGGATAGACTCCAGCCCTGCAGAACCCTAGTGAGGATTAAGTGGTGTATAGATAATGGATGGATGGACTCTGGCTTCCTGCTGCATTTCCATTATTTTATTTTATTACGTTATTTTTGGGAATCTCAGCTGCCGTACGCCAAATTCACTTCTTCTTTGTTGCTCAACCGAATGTTTCATCAGGTGGATTTGTGTAAATGCTGTGATGCACGTCTCCGTTATTGCAAAAAAAATTATGTCATGTGGGAGTAAAGACTGATGAAGAAATAGCACAAGTTCCCCTCCTTAAAGAGTCACACCTCTAACGAATGAACCGTAGAACGAAATGTACCTTTAAGACAATGAAAGGAAAAGTAGGTCTGGTTTCAGCTGTCAGAGTCAACACTGATGCATGTGGGAATGTGTGAGACTGGCATCGAAGGAGCCACCAAGAGGAAATAACTGATGTAATGGCTTAAACATTAGCTCATGGAGGAGGAACAGGAGACCTTTTTGTTCAACAGCAGCGATCCTGAACCGTCGTCACTCCCAGTGAACGTCTGTTGCCTCGGTGAGGTCACTGCGTTCAGGTTTGATTTGACCTCAGCTCGTCCTGTAAACAGATACTCAAGACTGAGCGCACACCATGTAGATGACCTTGCAAAACAAACGCTGGAGTGACTATTAATAGTGCTGGAAAGCAGCAGTTAAAGGACATTTTTTACAAGCCTCCTCCCAATGAGTTGCAGAAATTTGGGAAAGATTTAGTCTGAAACTGAACCCAAACACCTGGAGGAGGTCTCAAGAGTAGAAAACAGTGCAGAATATGAGCTCTTCTTGCTCATGCTGATGAGATTATTAAAACCTTTTCTATCCTGGATGTCCTTTTATCAGACGTGTATTTGTGGGGACATATTCAGTGTCTAACGGGCTGCAAGGTGGCGCAGTTGGTAGCACTGTTATCTCGCAGCAAGAAGGTTGCGTCCCGGTGGGGGCACCGGAATCTTTCTGCGTGGAGTTTGCATGTTCTCCCCGTGCAGCGTCGGTTCTCTCCGGGTTCTCCAGCTTCACAGTCCAAATTGGTGATTCTAAATTGTCTGTAGGTGTGAATGTAAGTGTGCTTGGTTGTCTGTCTCTCAGTGTAGCCCTGTGATAGACTGGTGACCTGTCCAGGGTGTCCCCTACCTTCACCCTGAGTCAGCTGGGATAGACTCCAGCCCCCCGTGACCCTAGTGAAGATTAAGCGGTGTATAGATGATGGATGGATATTCAGTGTCTAACTTCATTTTCTGTACTCTGGTGAATTTCTATGCACCATAAATGCCTTTCCTGCATCATTTCATGTTCGAAAATGCCTGTATTTATGCAAAGGAAAACACAGAAACCAGGCACCAAGTTTCAAAATATAGTAGAATGCAATGCCTCTCAGGTGTTCTGTATTGATTTTAAATATGTGTTCTCCTGTAGATTCCTATTCAATATTATCCCTGCTGGTTAGGCGTCCACCACCAAGATTTGTCAGCATCAAACTTTATTTCCTGTATTCCTCTGAATTTTTATGCACTGATTTGTGCCTTTTCTGCATCAATTTATGATGGGAAATGTTTTTATTGACTGTATTTAAAGGAAAACTTAAAATATAGGCACCAGGTGACAAATTCTAACAGAATGTAATGCAGTAAGGCTCCCTGTATTCTGTGTTGATTTAAAATATTTGTTATACCTGTGGATTCAACACACATTGAGATGATTTGTGTCTTTTGTTTGTTTAGGTGGCACATTAACTAGGGGTCTAGGCGTCCACCACCAAAACATTCTGAGCGTTAAGCTTGAATTCTTGCATTCTGGTGAAGCTTTTTGTACCGTTTTGTGCCTTTTCTGCATCAATTTGTGCTGGAAAATGTCTTTATTTACTTTATGTAAAGGAAGATGCAAAATTCAGGCCCCAAGTGGCAAATATAATATAAACAAAAACTGCAGTAAGTAAATAACTTTTCTCCTTCAGTATTATTCCTGCCGATTGAACATACATCAGCATGATTGGTGTCTTTTTTTAGTTGTTGCTGTTGAAGTAGCTTTTTAAACTATGTGCCTGTTCATGTCATTTTAAAACACAAGCATCCCGCCATTATTAGAAGGTTGCAAAGTGTCGCTGTAGCAGATGATTAAAACAGATGTTGTAGTAACGTTGGGCGTCAGTGCTGCTTGATTAAATCAGGTCGACTTGCAAATGAGAATTTTTAGAACAGGTTCAATAACATCAGTGCTATGAGGATGTTGCTCACGTGCTCTATATATAAATATGGATTTTCACATCTCACTCTGTCCTGGTGATGAAGATAAGGAGGCTTATTGTGTTTCTAAACTCTCCCAAGTGTCTCTTATCCACGGAACCGGAGGTTGTTCATTTGTGTGCAGCGTGTGGAGCTGTTACTGACTGATTTGTGAATGTTTTTTCAGGTGGAACTTTTAGTTTTAATAGCCAACTGGGCTTAAGTTTAGGGAGTAAGAGGTTAATACTTGTCATTGTTCAGTATCAAGCCTATTTTTACCTGACAGAGAACAATATGCACCTAATTTGGTGACTCCTAAACTGGTGTTTGGTACATTTACAGGGATCACTAGAGAGAGATGACAGAAAAGGAGACAAAGGTCTTTATGCTACACAGATGTATCTCAATTCAATCCGACTTCCGTCTAATCTTTCCTTTTTCCTTAGTTAAAAACTTTCTCCTAAATGAAAAAGGAAAACATCTGTCTTAAATAGAAGCAGTCAGAGCGGATAGACTTCTGCAGCTTACGACAAAGTGCTGCATGTTGACTTTAGAAGAATTAACGACCTAATTGTTGGCATAATAAAGAAGGTTTACAGCCATAACTTAGTTGATTTATCCTGAACTGGAAGCTTTTTAAGGCCTTGTCCACACTAAAATAGGGATTTTTCTATATAGATATTTTTAAAAATACAAAAATCTTGTCCACACAAACCATCATTTTATAAAATATCTTCCTACACGAGACACAAGAATGCCTGTCCTCCAACAATGCATTAAATACCAGAGGAAGCTGTCATTTCAGTGTTTCTGTGAACTTTAAAGTGCAAATGTTTTGGACCAAGTAACGTTAAAAGACACACTTTTGTTCCAGGAAAGTTGTGCGGAAAATTGAGTTGTAAACTGCTAGTGGTAAAGAAACTGACACATGTCCGCCATCGTTGTTGTTGTTTCAGACACATGTTCATCACAAAATGCAACAAAAACAACGCACAAGTTAGGGTGTGATGTTGCTTCCCAAGACTTTACATGCTCACACAGATGCACTTCAATGTGGAGTTTTTAAAAATCTGCGCTTTTGGAAAAATTTGTTCCAGTGACCCAAAAACCTTGAAAACATCCATAAAACATTTGTAAAAGTGTCCGTATCGGTGTGAAGGACAAAGTCTACCAGGTCTCATAAAAATACGCTCCTCAGTGTTGTTTCAACCTGTTAAAAAGTAACGTGAAAAGTAGTGGAACAGAACAGAAACTCCTTGACCTGAAAGGAGGTCGAACATAAAACCTAAAATAAACCCATCTGGGAAAACACTGGAAGTTAAACATTGACTTTTTTTTATATATATATATAGTTTCTGTAAAGTGTGGTATTCCTTCATTTTTAGTCCAGTTGCTTTTTGTCAGATTATTGATTGAAAACAAGAGCTTTACAGACTCTTTGTAAGATGTAACATGTGCAATTCTAATGATTTTAAAAGTACATTAAACAGTAAATATCAGGGTAAAGCAATGAATTTGCCCATTAGGGGAGATAAACGACCTTTAAAACTGCTCAAGAATCAAATATATTTGAAATTTGATCGTAACTTCAAAGGGGAAACTACCTGCCAGTAATAACTGTCTCGGCAGCCGCCTCTCTGTCTCATACATAGAAGCAAATAGTGATCAGAAACCAGACAAAATGAAACAGAAGAGGCGTCATCATGACGGAGACTTATCTGTCTTTAGAGGGGAAGTTGAGGTTTTTCAAAGGCCCAATTCCTCCTCATTTTTGTATCGTAACTTATCTTCTCCCCCTCAGCTGGTGACAGGCACATTTCGTGGGAATTTACGTCAGAACTGTTAAACAAATTGTGTTTCTTGTGTTGCATGTGATTCACTGCTGTCGGACGTGTTTGTTTTTATCTTCCAGAATCGCCACAGGAGCGACAACCAAGTGAACAACCGCAAAGTTCAAGTCCTCATTGATAGAAAGTAAGTTTATCTGGGAAATGCACTCAAAGTTTCAGGTAGTTACGTGCAGTTTTTTGTGACTCATCAGAATAGTTTTCCCTAAAAGCAGGTGTTCCTCAGGGAAACATCCCGGGTCCTTTTTATCTTCATTATGAAGAAGCCCCGATTAAATCCTTCAGAGTTTTTGCTCGTTTCAGCTCAAAAAGTGAAATGGAGCCCACATGTGCAAATGCCTCACATATTTGAAATAGCAGACATCAGATCAACAGGATGCAAAACAAGAGCTGCCCAGCGTCCTGCAGCTGCTTCCTGCGGCTGTTCAGGAGAGAGTGACTTAGCACACAATGAAAATACAGGATTTTATAATGAAAACATACAGAAACGGTCAAAAATATCCAGCAAGCTTGTCTATAAACATCATCAAGTGGCAGTCTAATGGCTGCGACCCTAAACCCTGATTTAATGTTGTGCTTCTTTACATTTTTTAACCTAAAGTCTCGATGAGGAAAACAGGATCAGCTGCTACGATTAATGTGTGTCTATTTACTACTCAGATTCCTCAAATCCTCAATTTTAGGAGAATTTCCACAACATATGACCTCAGTGTCCTCAATAATACCTACAGCTCTGTCTGGTGTGATAGTGAAAGAAGAGAAGAAGGCACCATTTGCATTTTTGTGTTTTCTGTTTACTGCAGCTGCAGGATGGTAGAAGGAGAAGTTTACCTCCTGTTGACATGATTTCTGCTTTTAAAAATATTTCTTTTTAAAACAAGCGCTTGATTTCATCTCTTTGATCTGCAGAACATACGTTGTTTCTCACCGCTTTCTACTTCTGTTTTTTATTTTTTTTATATATAGTTGTTTTTTGAAAAACAAATTTTAAAAAAATGATGAGTTAATAACTTACTAAAATAAGTCCAACATGTTGAGCCAAAGTTGATCCTCATTCATATTTATTAATATCATATAATTTACATTTTTTTCAAAGTGATAATAAGGTGACTTATTATTCAACATAGAGTGCAATGTGAATTGTATCACTTTCAAAATAAATGTCCTGTATGACTTTTGAAATGTAAATATTTTCAAAATATACAAATATTCTATTTTTTTTATGTAACTTATTTCACAGTAAAAGTGTTGCATGATATTCATTCCAGAATAAAACTGCAGTGTAAGGTTTATTTATTTCAAAACAAGAGGAATGTGTGACATTGAGTTTGAACATAAAAGTCCAGTGAAATGTAGTTTTTCTAAAATAAGTAACTTGTTTTTTCAAAAATAGAATAAATTAAAATATTTTTCAGGAAAAAAAAGGTGCAGTGTAATTGATGTTTTTCCTAAATAAAGGTGACATATGACCGACTCTACATAAATGTTATTTCAAAGTAAAGGCGCAGCATGAGGTACATTTATGTCAAAATAAGATTGCAGTGTGAGGTTTATTTTTTATATAAAATGGAATGTGTGTGACTTATTTTCTGAACACAGAAGTGCGGTGTAACTTGTTTTGTTTTTTGTTGTTGTTTTTTCAAAATAAAGGTAAGATGTGACTTTTATTTTTCATAAGAAATAGTTAAAGTCTGTGGCTTTACTTGGAAAACATATAACATAAAAGTTTCCTAATGTGTTATGAAACATTAAAAAAATGCACATTATCATGACTAACAGACCAGACAAAGTGATAACAAGCGGAAGTTTATTGCAACACTCAGTGCATTAACACCTAAAAACCCACAAAGAGGTTCAAGAGAACAAACCTGAAGCAGCAGCACCAACTCCAGCATGTAATGGAAAACCCTGAAAAGCATCAGTTCTGTGCGTCCCGGCCAAGTTGTTCAAGCGCTCGCTATTATTGGCCGACAGAAACGAGGGGAGATAATACAGGAAACTGGCAGGAACATTCAGTGATGGAAAGCGACTAATATTAGGATGACCTTGGTGTTCGCTGCTTATTTATGGTCCCTCAGTTTCTTTCCTGAGAGGGTTCAAAGAAAAGGGAAAAGGACGCATTTAGCTCTGCGGGACATTCACACTCCGCCTGTTTTTCTGTTCCTCAGGTTACGAAGCGAGAAATGGATGGACGTCCAGGTAGGAGACATCATCAAGCTGGAAAACAACCAGTTTGTCACTGTGAGTAAATTATTCAAAGCTCCTTCCAGTTACATCTCTATTGCTCACATATCTTCTTGTATCTACAACATTTTCCATCTTAATATGTTGTTTTTTGCCGCCTTTGGTTGACAGTTTTATTGCATTCCTTATCTTTGGATGTTCTTGTTTTTCATACTGGCAAACTTTTCATGTCATTCTCAGTTTTTACTGGGTGTTTGCAGAGTTTTCAGTGTTACAAGCAGCAAAAGGCAAAGTGCAAACAAGTAGAGAACAATTTAAAAAATAAACAATAAGCACTAATTCTTCCATTGCTGGTTTGCGTCCCGGTGGGGGCACCAGAATCTTTCTGCGTGGAGTCTCCATGTTCTCCCCGTGCAGCGTGGGTTCTCTCCAGGTTCTCTGGCTTCCTCCCACACAGTCCAAAAACATCCATCCATCCATCATCTATACACAGTTTAATCCTCACTAGGGTCATGGGGGGGTGGAGTCTATCCCAGCCGCCTTAGGGTGAAGGCAGGGGACACCCTGGACAGGTCACCAGTCTATCACAGGGCTACACTTAGAGACAGACAACCAAGCACACTCACATTCACACCTACAGACAATTTAGAATTACCAATTAACCTCAACATGTTTTTGGACTGTGTGGGAGGAAGCTGGAGAACCTGGAGAGAACCCACACTGCACAGGGAGAACATGCAAACTCCACACAAAAAGATTCCGGTGCCCCCACCGGGACGCGAACCGGCAACCTTCTTGCTGCGAGGCAACAGTGCTAACCAAAAACATGTTGAGGTTAATTAGTGATTCTAAATTGTCCGTAGGTGTAAATGTGAGTGTGCTCTAAGTGTGGCCCTGCGATAGACCAATGACCTGTCCAGGGTGTCCCCTGCCTTCGCCCTAAGTGGGATAGGCTCCCGCCCCCCCACGACCCTAATGAGGATTAAGCGGTGTATAGATAATGGATGGATGGATGATTCTTCCATGTTTACATATTCAGATATCGCACAGAAAATAATCCTCTGGATGTAGACAATAATAATAAAGCACATATCAGTGGTTTAGCACAGATTCTTCCACAGGCAGAAACATTCTAGTGTTGCACAGATTCTTGTTTATGTAGAAAAACTGGTTTTGCACAGAGTTTCTAAATGTACAACATATGATAATGAACATAATGTATAACTACAATAGAATGCTGAATAAGTACATTGATGGCAGTGATATCTCTTCCTGTGTGACTGCAGGCCGACCTCATGTTGCTCTCCAGCAGCGAACCGCTCAACCTTGTGTACATCGAGACGGCAGAACTGGACGGGTAATTTGTCTTATCATTATTTAACATAATAATAATAATCCAACGATGTGTGTATTTAATGTGATTCTCTGTTTCTGATGTTTTTTCTTATTACCTTTTCTTCACCCTCCTCCTCATCTCCTACCGCTTCCTCTTCCTCCCTGGTTTCGTCTTAACTTCCTTTTTTCTTCCTCCTCTTTACTTTCTCTTCTCCTCTTTCTCAGAGAGACGAACCTGAAGGTGAGACAGGCTCTGCCGGTGACCGGAGACCTGGGAGATGATATTGAGAAACTGGCGGACTTTAACGGTGAGACGGCCGCAGGAGCAGGACAGAAATACCCTGATGAATTAAAATATGAACCTGAACCCTCGACTCCTGCAGCGAGGCGATCCGGTGGCTCTGTTATGCTGTCGGAGGCATTTTGCTGGCATGGTTTGGCTTCACTTCTCCCTTTGGAGCGACGAGTCACTGTGAATCAATACAAAGTTGTTCTGAGTGATGAAACATTTCTATTCTGATGGAAGGGGTCTCTTCCTTCATCTGTAGGGCACCGGGGGGTCACTGAATGGTTTGATGAGGATGAAAATCATGTGATTATATGTTTTGACCTGTACAATCACCATCATCAAAACACCAAATGAGGAAATCTCTTTTTTTTTTTTTTAAATCGAAAAAAAAAGAGAGTCCCACCCTGACATTTTCTTTATTTTCAGGCAGATTTCTTTTGGTGTCATTGCACAAAAAATCACAATCTTTCAGCATGTTGTAATTCATGTGGGCTGACAGGAAACTAGTGTTCGGCACCACCTACTAGCTCTGTTTTCAGGCTTAAATTAAGTTAAATTAAATTAAATTAAATTAAATTAACCATGATAGAAGATTTCAGCCAATCGCAGGGCTCTTTAGGCAAATCGGGTGAGGGAACATAAAGAGCAGCAAAACAGAAATATGATGTCGTGGTGCAACGAGATGAGCAGAAGACTCCCTTTAAATGTTATTGGAAGCCACAGGTGGATGCTGATTTCTGGTTTCACCATTTTTTTTATTTAAACAGAAAAGGAAGAGCTGCAGGAGGAGGACTGCATTTATACGTTGACATTTTTTTTTTATTATTGTTTTTTCCAAATTTCTGCCTACTGCAGCTTTGACTTTGTGTAGAATTTCCATCCATCCATCATCTATACACCACTTAATCCTCACTAGGGTCATGGGGGGCTGGAGTCTATCCCAGCTGACTCAGGGCGAAGGCAGGGGACAGATCGCCAGCACCTACACCTAGAGACAGACAACCAAGCACACTCACATTCACAATGTGATCACATTCACACCTACGGACAATTTAGAATCACCAATTATCCTCAACATGTTTTTGGACTGTGTGCGAAGCTGGAGAACCCAGAGAGAACATGCAAACTCCATGCAGAAAGATTCTGGTGCCCCCACCGGGACGCGAACCGGCGACCTTCTAGCTGCGAGGCCACACTGCTAACCAACTGCACCACCCTGCAGCCCTGTAGAATTTACATTACTTTAAATTCCCAGTTGTAGTGTTTCTAAATCCAACCCTGGAACACTATAACGAATAAACTGAAGGCAACACAAAGACTTGTAAACACATCGTCATTAATTCTCAATGAATTTGTCTCTTTTTCCACACACACTTGGAAAAAAAAATAAAAAAATCTAATTCTTTAGAATACGTGCAAAAATGTTCTAATTGTGCAGAACTTCTTCACATATACATGTTTTAATTCCGCAGTTCTTTTGTCATTTTGAGCACAACCTTAAACCCGCTGTGTCTTCTTTCAAGGTGAGGTACGATGCGAACCCCCCAACAACCGCCTGGACCGCTTCACGGGAACGCTGGCCTTCGCCGGTCAGAAATACCCGCTGGACAACGAGAAGATCCTGCTGCGAGGCTGCACGCTGAGGAACACCGACTGGTGCTTTGGTCTGGTGCTGTTTGGAGGTCCGACACATGGTTCATGCACATATCAATGAGGAGCTACTGCACTGGAGACTATAAATCTTACTGACTTTAATCATTTAATCTCTCTCTGTTTGTCTTTTGCAGGTCCAGAGACGAAACTGATGCAAAACTGCGGGAAGAGCACGTTCAAGAGGACGAGTATCGACCGTCTGATGAACGTTCTGGTCCTCTGTGTGAGTCCTGCTCACTGTTTGATTGTTTATTCTCATGTCAGGGTTGCTGGCAGTGTATTATTTCGAAATTAGGTGTGTGAATAATTGAGCTTTGCATATTCAGCTCAGCTTTTCATTAGGTTGTTGTTGCAGCACTGACAACAACAAGCAGCGCTCACACCTACATCAGGTCATTAGACAGAATGAACTCATCCTGCAGTTTAATTAAAATTCAGTTCTGCAGATGCGTGACTGCAAACAACGCGCCGGGTGTTCTGTGCAGCAGCAATTACGCTTCATTTGGAATAAACTGCAGTAGCACTGAAAGCTTTGACAATCCAGGAAATCACAGTCTTGCATGCAGGTTTGATTAAACATTGGGAGGTGCAGCGCAGTAACACAATGACAGAGTAGGAAAATAACCACAAAAAAAAAAAGTGATTTAGTAGCATTTGCATCCTAGACACAAATATAAAAAAAACCGCAGGAATTATTATTTTTTTAAAGTGGTGATTTAAGCTCCAGTCTGTATTTTTTTGACTGAAAATACATAAAGTATGGTCACATGTACAGTGAAAAGTTTGACTTCAAACTAAACTAAGTTGAGTCTGCATTTGTTTATATGTCTGAAGTTTGAGTTTTGTTGTTTGAACAGGGGAATAGTTGAAGGTGCCACCTTGACAAAACATTGATCATTTTACGATACTCTCTGACAATCAAAGGACGGACAAACTGATTTAGAATCAGCCATTTTTATTTATTTTTGGATACCTTTTCTTTTTCTTTCTTTTTTTTTTCTTTGTAATTTTTTTTATTATTATTTGTTTGGTTATGTGTTAATGAAGCAAACTGACAACATACTCCAAATGTAAATGATTGTATTTCATGCTGTTAAAATGTTCATAAAAACATTATGGAAAAAACAAAAAACTAAACTAAAATATAAAATGTGCATTTTGCGTTTGTCCGCTTATTATTGACAATACAGGCCTGTTTGTGACATTTCTGGTTAAAACACACCTTAAGCAGCAACAGCAAATATTGAAAAGTCGTAGTTTTCTAAAGTCTCTTTAATAGAACTGCAGCTTTGTTTGAACGTGACCTCAGATCACCTGTTGCATCTTTACCTCAGGTTTTTACCTTGAGCTGGATTTGTCTTATCCAGTCAAACAATTCTGTTCCTGCAGCATATTAGCTTTCCTTTCCTAACCTCCAGAAAGTTCTTTTAACTTCCGAATAGTAAGATGTCGCCTCTTTGTGCTCTCCCTGCAGATTTTCGGTTTCCTGGCCTGCATGTGCATCATCCTGGCAATAGGAAACTACCTCTGGGAGCTGAACAGCGGCGCCCACTTCACCGTCTTCCTGCCGAGGCTGGACGGAAACGACGCTGGCTTCTCCGCATTTCTCACCTTCTGGTCCTACGTCATCATCCTCAACACTGTGGTGCCCATTTCTCTCTACGTCAGGTAGCACGCCACAGCTTCTTGTTTAACTACAGACAAAACATGGGTTAACATAAAGTCATTACAACGTGTAAAAAACCCAAAAAACAGGATTATATCTTAAAAGACCTATCGTTTTAGTCAGGCCTTTGATTGATTTAATGGATTTTATTTATTTGTTACGCCTCTTAAATGTAATTTTATTTATTAATTCTCTATTTATTCACTTATTTACATATTTTATCTGTATTTGTATTGTTTATTCTGTTTTTACCTTCACCTATCCATCTATAGTTTAATAATGGATATTTTTTTTTTATTTTTCCCTATTTTGTTTCATTTTATGTTTAATCATTGCATGTGTTATTGATGACGACGTTTCCTCAGTTCCTCACTCGTTTTGTTTTTGTGTCTTTCCTTTAAGTTTGGGGTTGTTTATATTGTTTTATTGCATTTTTTATTCCTTTCTTCTACAAATCACTTGATGTAACAGGTCATTTGTATAAAATACTGCCTGACTTACTGATTGATCTTCCGGCAGCGTGGAGATCATTCGGCTGGGGAACAGCTTCTACATCGACTGGGACAGGAAGATGTACTACGCTCGCTACGACACCCCCGCCGAGGCCCGGACCACCACGCTGAACGAGGAGCTCGGCCAGATCAAGTACGTCTTCAGCGACAAAACTGGAACGCTCACGCAGAACATCATGACCTTCAACAAGTGCTCCATCAACGGCAAATGCTACGGTGAGACTCCTGGACTGACTTCATTTATACGGGCAACCTGAGTGCATCAGAGTTTATCAGAGTCTGGGAGATAAGGGGCTCTTGAGGGTTTTGTAAAACACAAAAACATACAGCGAGCATCAAAAGAACAAGAGAGGAGAAGTTAAGTGGCGTTCCAGACATTGTGCAAACACTTTATCTGATTATATTCAGAGTTGAATATAAAAGCACTTAGAGCCATGTTTCTTAAGTTCTTTTTTTTTTGGTTTATTTTGCAATTTTCACTTATTTTACACACTTTGTAAGATTTCTTAACATGAGTTCAAAGCAGCTTTGCATTGTCTATGACGATATTGACGTTAAAATATCTGTGAACATGGCCTATCTATAGCTTATATTCTACACGGTTGAATTGTTCAGTTAAATTTAAAGAAATCGCTCCCATGAGGTCGCGCCTACGGGTCTGAAACTTCACAGCGGTGTGGCTGACAAGATTGAAAACACATGTGGTGATTTTCACAGTCGTGGTAAGAACTATGTTGTAGTTAGTGTTGTTTAAATATGGCTTATTTTTAAATGAGGGCAGAAAAGAAGGCTTTTTAATGCATGTTTTACTGATGCTAAAGAAGCATTTTCAGAAACTAGAAATATAAATAATACTAGAATTGCATCTCTGAAATAAAAACCTGGTTCACCATAAACTTCCTTAAATTAAACAGTAATAAAACAGAGGTTCTCCTCGTGGGCACAAAATCCACTTTCTCCAAAACTGACAGCTTTTCCCTCAACATTAACAACTCCTCTGTATCACCCTCCCCCCAGGTTAAGAGTCTGGGTGTCATCCTTGACGGTACTCTTTCCTTTCAGTCTCACATCAGTAACATTACCCGGTCTGCCTACTTTCACCTACGAAGCATCAATCGCCTCCGCCCCTCCCTCACCCCCCACACTGCCGCCATCCTGGTCCACGGTCCCGTCACCTCCCGTCTGGATTACTGCAACTCCCTCCCCTTTGGCCTCCCTCACAAATCACTCCATAAACTTCAACTGGTCCAGAACTCAGCTGCCCGTATCATCACAAGAACTGCCTCCATCCACCACATCACCCCTGTCCTCCAACGGCTCCACAGGCTCCCGGTTCAGTTCCGCATTCAGTACAAAATCCTCCTGTTGACTTTCAAGGCAATTCACAACCTCGCCCCCCCATATCTGTCTAACCTCCTCCATGTTCCCATTCCCTCCCGCTCCCTCAGATCCTCTTCCTCCCTACACCCGTCTGTCCCCTCCGCCCGTCTCACCACCATGGGGAGCATTTAGCTGCTCTGCTCCCCGCCTCTGGAACTCACCACCACCCTCTCTCAGAAACATTGACTCACTCTCTCATTTCAGATCTCAACTCAAAACACACCTGTATACTGTATTATTGTGTATTTTATTGTTGTTTCTTTTATCTTTTGTAAGGTGTCCTTGAGTGACTAGAAAGGCGCCTTTTAAATAAATTTTTTTATTATTATTATTAGCATTATTATTATTATTATTGTTATTATAAATACAGTCGTCTTTAAATGTAATCACACCCTTCCATTAAAGAAAAGGCAAAATTCACAATAGTCACTCAAATAACAAGAAAAAAGTAATAATAAATAAAAAATTTGCTAAATTCTAATTTAGTTAAATAAAACATTGCTTTTGAATTGAGGGTGAAAAAAATAATTTTAAAACGGAAAAACTGTCCCAGACAAATGAGAACACTTTGCTGATGAGCAGTCGGCCAAAATCAAAATACCTGTCATCAGGTGCAGAAGTCTGATTGAGAGTTACAGAAAACACCTGATGCAGTGATTGGCTCAAAGAGTTGTTCAACAAATATTGGTTTATGGGTCCCATTATGCTTGTTTGCTTGTTTTATTTAGTTGTTTTTTTTTTTTTTTTGATATATATATATATTTCTGTTGGTTATGCTAAATAAGCAATCAGCTGAACATTTCCACCTTGAAGTCTAATGATGACAGTCTCAAAAGCACAGAATGAGACCTCCAGGCTTCACGCATGACAAACCTACTGAAACAATCCTGTTAACTTTCAGGGTGGGACTTTTTTCTTTGTCATTATTCTTGTAAAGAATCAGTTTCCAGTTCAAACATGTGTGACTGATTTAGTGCAGTGTTACAGCTTACCGTTGTGTAGCGTTGAGTCGTTTTACTGTGTTTGAGTTCATAAATCTGCACATTGTGGAGGGAGCAACAGTGTAGAGTTACATCAAGGCCGTTTTAATGAATTATTTTAATGGAAAAAGCTTCTAAATATGTAACTTTATTTAACAAACAGATGAGGTTTTTAAACAACAACCAGAGAGGGAGTTATTCCACATTGAATGCTCTTTATGTTGTACTATAGTTTGATCAGTGATTCCCTTTGTCTCTGCAGGAGATGTGTTCGACTACACGGGCCAAAGGCTGGAAATCACTGAGGTGAGTTTAGAGTGTGTTGTTTGTACTTATGAGTGGTTTGCAGATGTGGTATCTCCAAAACATGGATTAAACTAGTTTTTTCCAAATGTTTAAGGTGAAGTGGTCAACAGGCCACAGATCCTGGTCTTCAATCTAGATTCATCCTTCCTGGCTTTTTTAACACACACGTATTAACAATTATTGAACAAATAATCACTGCTGCCATGTTTTTGAAAGGAGCATCTTTGGGTTTTTGAGTTTGTTCTGCAGCTTTCCTTTCTGATTACAACATTATTCCTTTATCTTCTATAACTCTAGTAATTCCTCCATCATCACAAGTATTTAAACTAGACACCAGATCTAATTTTAAACAGATTAATATTTAAATGATTAAATCAAAGACTTATTAATCCAAATAGCTAAGCCTGACCATCTCTCTACATGTCAAAGACTCACAGCAGAATTACTGTTGTGCAGATTTCATCAGACAAACCAACTCCCAAATACCTTTCATCCTCTCTTTACTCCCTTCCCTCCCACTCTGGTCTCTGCAGCACACAGAGACGGTGGACTTCTCCTTCAACCCGCTGGCCGACTCTCGCTTCATGTTCCACGATCACGCCCTGGTGGAGGCGGTGAAGCTGGAGAACCCGGAGGTCCACGCTTTCTTCAGGCTGCTGGCGCTCTGCCACACCGTCATGGCCGAGGAGAAGAAGGAAGGTGAGGAGAGGTTAAGTGTTTCAGTGGGCGACTGAAACACACCAGTGGCTTTGAAAGGAATGTTATCGATTTACAAAAATAAAAATCCCCCAAATCACATGATTCATCAGAGCTAGAAACTGTAAACACGAGAGGAAATGTCCGATTTTTCAACTGTTCAGTGGTCTTTGAGGTAATAATGTGTGGTTCTGTCGAGAAGATAATCAAGTTTAAGCTTAAAATTGTGATATTACAGCAAAACCGCATAATTTTACAGGTAAAAATAAGCCGTTTAAAACAGAAAAAATGATGTCCTCTACAACCGAGATGCCACAAGGTTCTCAGCTGCAACCGAAAAACTCAGTGTACTCGGCTGAACTGCAGGCTGTGTTTATGCAGAGCAGATAGCAGACGATTAGAGAGATAAAAGGGAGACAAAAAAAAAACAGATTTTAGCATTAAAATAAATACAGCATGGCTTGAAAATGGTATAAAGAGGAGCAAGTTTTCAGCAAGTTGCTGGAAAATACATTCAGCATGGTGAAATAGCTTTCTTTCTTGAGTTAATATAGAGGGCAGTGTGAAGTTTGTAGAGGTTGTAAAAATGTCAGTAGTAAATAAAATATCTGTCATATTTAGACCCAGTGTTTTTGTCCAGTTACCTGTGGACACTTGGAGGAAAAAAAGTTGCCCAAGTTGATCTCAGTTTCATTCAATTTTAGTGAAATTAATATTTAAAGAAATTTCATTTTTCTCTTATTTTTGTAATGATTTATGGCATTGTACCTTTAATATACTGCACAAAATGCTTTTTTTTTGTTAGCTCTCCTATCTATGCTTGTACCATTTCAGGGGGTCTTTTTAGAGAAAAGTATTTAGTATCTAATAGAATAATGTAAACCTCCAGTAAACTTAGGAAATTTGGGAATTATAAGCCAACATTTCAGCATTTTCTGGCCAGAAATGATTAACTTCACCTCACCATTATCAATGATAACAATCATTGCTGCTTTTACTCAACTACAGCTCACTAATGCCCCTTCTCTCCTCCAGGTGAGCTCTTCTATCAGGCCCAGTCTCCAGACGAAGGAGCTCTGGTGACAGCAGCCAGAAACTTTGGCTTCGTCTTCCGCTCACGAACCCCGGACAGCATCTCCATCGTGGAAATGGGAAAACAGCGCAGCTACGAGCTGCTGGCCATCCTGGACTTCAACAACGTCCGCAAGAGGATGTCCGTCATAGGTGCTGAACACGGGATCATTGTCGCAAAACTTTACTTTTAACTGTCTTAAAAAAAGGAAACACATTTTTATTCTCATGTCTTTGTATTTGTGTGCAACAGTGCGGAGTCCAGAGGGGAAGCTGTCTCTCTACTGTAAAGGTGCAGATACGATCGTCTACGAGAGGCTGCATCAGTCCTGCAGCAAACTGATGGACGTCACCACGGAGCACCTTAATGTCAGTAACATTTCTGTCTGTACAACTAGAGGAGATATTTAGGATTTATTTTTCAGACTTGTTCATACTTTATCTGTACTTTTTCTGCTTTTTTTCTGGATGTTCTGCATCTGGAAATCTCTGCTTCTTTCATCATGTGTCAATTGTGGGGGTTTTGTATTTACACATGCAAATTTAATCTTAATGTGTTCCATCTATCTGCCCTGGAAGCCTCAATAAGTCAACCCTGTATGCTTGGGATTTCTGATAACAATCACAAAAGCCTTCTTTTATGTATTTTTCTCTGTTGCCATAAAGAAAAAGATCAATGACCAACATTTGACTTCAACAGAAAAAAAGTCTCTTAGAGCAGAAATGCAACTTTATAAAATATATTTTTATGTTGAATGCTCTTTGAGTTTAATCCAGTGAACGTCTGGCAGAGTTTATGCATTTTGTGCTGAGATAAACAATGGACTGATTTAAAGTAATGAGTAAAACCTTCAGCTCAGTTGGAAGCAAACACAAAAAGACTAGCGTGAGGAGTTCTGTCTGTGATATCTCTGGTTTATAAAGCTGCCAGTGAGCTATTTTTCTTTCTTCTTGTCAAAAAAAATGCCAAACAGAGACCAAAACCAACAATGCTTTGGTTTTTCTTGTCTGTGACACTCGACTCTAATCTGACTTGTTTCTATTGTAGACGTGAATCTTTGAAAACAAGTTAGAAATACTTTTGTTGTTGAGAAATACTCATGATTTCCTGCCGTAAACCAGCAAACACTGTGGACTTTACCCAAGTTTGCCTTCGAATCAGGAAAAAAGGCATTTTGAGAAACAAGTCTGTGCACATTTAATGGTAACAGGAGGGTCTGACTCAAGATAAACGACAACTCTCAGTTCTATTATAAAGGCAAACATTTGTCCCAGAGCATCATTGTGGCTGGTTTTTGGAGAGCAGTGGAGCTCTATGAGGAACAAACTTGTGTATAAATTTGTATTTTCTCCTTCTCTTTTGAATTCTCATAATATCTGGTATTTATTTTGGCCTCCTCTCTCCTCCCTTTGTTCCACTTCTTCCTTGTTCGGTTGGTGTTACAGAAAAGAAACAGCTGATTATCTCCCGCTTGTCTGTCTGTCTTCTTTCCTTTTGCAGATTTTCCACAGCTGCCTCATAAGAGTTTGGCTTGTGTTTACACCATCAGTTTGCTTCTTTCCGGGGTGTGTTTGGTGTTTTTGCATGTGTGTGTACCTTCAACGTGCAGGATTCATCCATATAAGTATGTGCGTGCTGATCTGCAGGAATTTGCAGGGGAGGGACTGCGGACTCTGGCGCTCGCCTACAAGGATCTGGACGAGGAGTACTTTGAGCAGTGGAAACAGCGCCACCACGAGGCCAGCGTTGCTCTGGACGACAGGGAGGGCAAACTGGACCAGCTGTACGAGGAGATAGAGAAAGATCTCCTGGTAGGATAAAAAAAATGGAAAACAGGAGCTCATATGATAAAAGCAAAACCGGATTTTAATTCATTTGGATTGTCGTCTTTTTGAACTTCCAGCTGCTCGGAGCAACAGCCATAGAAGACAAGTTACAAGACGGAGTTCCTCAGACGATCGAGCAGCTGTCCAAAGCCGACATCAAAATCTGGGTTCTGACCGGCGACAAGCAAGGTATAAACATGATGAGAGAATCTAATGTATAATACATTATATACTTTTACTTTTAATAGTCAATAAACAAAAGAATTTTCTTGTATTTAAATGCATGATTTTAAGGGTTTAGTGCAACTTCATCACTCAAATCATCCCATTTTTAGAATTTGCTAGATTTGCTTGAATTTCTTTTATAAATACATTTTTGATATTAGAAATAGTATCTGTGATATTTTAGATGGATAAATCTGCTACTTTTCAAAATAAAAACAATTTCAGCTGTCTAAGAATATGTCAAAATCTCTGTATTTGGAAAAGCTGACTGGATGGTAAAGGTGAGAAATTAGTTGCAATGAAATGTTTCCTTTCAGTTGACGCGGATAATTTTTAATCGTTATTTTTAATAAAGACCCAGACAGAAAAGGTTTCATTTGAATGTAACCGCTTGAGCCTGTTTATCAAAGTGCACTGGCAGTAATTTAAATGTTGAAGTGAAAAGCACCTACATGAATAAAAATCAGTGAGGTGAAGGGAATCATCCCACACAGATACACATTAAAGTAGAACTGGGAGATACACAGAGGGTGACCAGGAAAAAGTATTAAATAAATTAAAGTACAGACAAGTAAAAAAAAACAAAAAAAGTTCAAAGATTACATGAAAGCTGCACATTAATTCAAAGCAGTGGACATCAGAGCATCAGAGCAGCCTTTAGTTTTAAAAATGGTCAAAGTTGGATCTGATTCCAGCAGCATGATGATTTCTCCACATTTGGTAACACTCTTCAGTTTTTGTGTCTGTCTTGTTTTTCAATCTGTGATGGCGGTTAATGTGTAACGATTTGTGTGGCAGAAACTGCAGAAAACATCGGTTATTCGTGCAACCTGCTGCGGGAAGAAATGAACGAGGTCTTCATCGTCTCCGGAAACTCACATGAGGACGTCAGACAGGAGCTGAGGTCAGAGGAAGTTTAAAAAAATGTTTTTTTTACTATCAGATTATGAAATGTTTCCACGCATGCATACATTGTTTGTTTTTTGTTGTTGTTTTGGAGCAGAAATGCACGCATCTCCATGAAACCAGATGCAGCAGAGAACTCTGTGTTTTTGCCAGAAGGCGCTCCAAGGAAAAGTGTGAAAGTGATCACAGATGAGGTGGTTAACGGAGAGTACGGTCTGGTCATCAACGGACACAGTCTGGTACGTAAAACATCACTGCTTACAATGCAGTCAATGATTACTTGTCTCACTTATTTCCTACTATAACCTGACAGAGATCAAAGATGTTTGGATGTTGCATAAAACCCATAAAGATACAGGAAGGACTTCAAGGAACAAATAATCTAAGAGTCATTTGTAGTGTTAAAACAAGTTCATCATCAGACACATTTATTTAAGATGTTTTCACCACAGTCGAGAGCATTTTCTTTTGTTGTGACGATTTGAATTGCAAAGAAAATATGACCCCAAAATGTTTGTTTTTCATATGAGCATCACTGATTTGTGAATTTATTCTGACTAACAATCATCAAGTATGAAACAGTAACTAGTAGCTACTCTACCAGTAGAATAATGTCTTTTTTTGCTGCATATCAGCTTCTAAAGTGATTTTGAGTTCATTATTTCCTCTTTGTGTTTTCGCTGTACGGATGTCTGCAGCTGCTGAAGCTGTACGGCTGTAATAACCCCAGCGTTTGTATAATTCCTGCCTCTCGTCACTTTCCTGTTCCCTCCCGCTGTCCTGCAGGCGTACGCTCTGGAGCACAGCTTGGAGCTGGAGTTCCTGAAGACGGCCTGCATGTGTAAAGCAGTGATCTGCTGCAGGGTGACTCCTCTGCAGAAAGCTCAGGTGGTGGAGCTGGTGAAGAAGTACAAGCGGGCCGTCACTCTGGCCATCGGAGACGGAGCCAATGACGTCAGCATGATTAAAGGTACCAGCAGCGACTCAGACGGACTCGTGTGACGTCTGTGTAGATTCTCAGTCATTCAGGTCGTAGTAATCCAAGAGCTTTAGTAGAACACTACTAGACTTCTCTTTTAGGTTCTTGAATCAGACTCAGAATCAGAATCAGCTTTAATTGCCAAGTACGTACACAACATACAAGGAATTTGGTTTCGGCTGTTGGTGTCGCCCTAGGAATTTGCACGAATAATAGAAATAGGAAAATTTAAAAATAAAATAAACTAAAATAACTAAAGAAAGAAAAGAATAAAAATACAATAAATATTAATAAAAAAATAAAACAAGATAATAAGACAAATATATACAAGAATTTACACATCTAGTAGAAAAAGGTATATGTACATTAGTGCAAAATGGAAGTGAAATTGAAGTTAGAACTGACGCAGTCTCTTGGATGAAGCTTTGTACTGAAGCTCAGAGGAGCTTGATGTAATCTTCCTTCTCGAATCCAATCAAGTTTCAGCATCTTTCTCATCCGTGGAACATGTGCATAACACACAAGCTTCATTTATAATGGACGAATGATGAAATAGCTTGCTTAAACTATTATATATTCTCAAAAAAATACTGTTGCTGCCTAAGATTGCTGTTCCTTCAGGTTATAACTGAGTAACAGTGTGGTTCTTTTGGAACTTTTGACTTGTGTTAGCTTCAATTACCATCAAACCAAAGCTTTAATTAACTTAGTTTAGCTGAAACAATTAGTTAACAGATTAGATCAGTGGTTTCTGAAGTAGGGAGCGCAAAATACCAAAGGAGAGGTAGAGAGATGATTTCCAGAAATCAAGTAAAACTCAAAACTGATGAGAAACAGCCTACTTTAACCATATTTGTCACAAAAGATAAAAGTAGTAGTTGTGTTTAGAATGAAACCTCGTGACCCCTGAGGAGATGACAACAGGGTGACTTCAGCATCAGTTCCAGCAGGTTCATTTAAATACAGGAGCTAAACTAAACTAAATTAGCTCTACTGCATACGAAGGAGTATGCTTCTTCTCAGGCCAGCTGACAGCCTTCCCTGGGCCCGGGACAAGATGATATTAGATGCGGACATTTTGGTGCTGAAGTGCAAAATCCGAACTTCCAATAAAAGGACATCACATGTTGATCAGGGGTCAAACCATTTTATGTTTGTAGGTGGGGGTGGAGGGCAATTCCAAAGATATTAAGGACAGTTCAGACAGAGAAATTAACTGGCAGCTATTTTGATTTGTGCGTTTGATATTATAACCAGAGAAGCAAAGTTTAAACTTTCCAGTCTGTTAAAGGCAGGATTTGCAGCAGATGATCTACAGATTAATCAAGAGAGAAATAATCATTTGCAGCTCTTAAACTGACTGTATGCTGCCTCCTCAGCACCAAACAGAGCTGCAGGTGAACCTGGTGGAACAGCTAACAGTCAAAGACCCAGATGTTGTCAGGAGCTGGTGGACACACAAAAAACTTTTAATATCCAGGTGGACAATAACATGAATCCAAATGTTGATGTTGTTTTGCTGCTTCCACCATGTTAGCGCCTATAAAAGACCCATCATATCTGGAACTCAGCATGTTTTATCTGGTGAAAGAGTTCGGTATTTCAGTGTGAAGCGAGCAGAAAAGCAGCTGCGAAACCTACTGACTGAAAAACGTTTTAATTTTGTCACTCTTTCCTTGCTCCTCCTCCTCCTCCAGCGGCTCACATAGGTGTGGGGATCTCCGGCCAGGAGGGGATGCAGGCCGTGCTGTCCAGCGACTACTCCTTCGCCCAGTTCCGCTTCCTGCAGCGCCTCCTGCTGGTTCACGGCCGCTGGTCCTACCTGCGCATGTGCAAGTTCCTGCGTTACTTCTTCTACAAGAACTTCACCTTCACCTTCGTCCACTTCTGGTTCGCCTTCTTCTGCGGCTTCTCTGCTCAGGTGAGACATGGAAGGAAGGGTTTTCTTCTTCTACGTACAGCCGCATATTTAGTTTGTGACACATTCACAGAAGAGCTTCAAACACATAAATGCAGTTCTTACCCAGTCGGTCTGACTAGACTATAACATCTTTTTACCTCTGTTTGTGTTTTGTTTTTTGTTCTGTTCTCTGGCATCATGAAGTGTTTAACTCAGCACTTTTCACTTTGTTATTCACTTTGAAAAAATAAAACATTTTAAAAGAAGTAAAGGAATAGTGGAGGGATGCAAAGAAGCAGGGAAACAGCCAGAAGATATGGAAATACAAACGAATTACGTGTCCAAATAGAAGAATGTTGGGCTTTAAAGAAAATGAAGGGAAGAAAACTAGGTCTTGGATATGATTGCTTATTTTGTATTATTGTTATTATTATTATTATTATTGTTGTTGTTGTTGTTGTTGTTATATATACAATACAGTTTTAAAAAGAGTAAGACATGTGAAGAAGATTGGCACACATAGTTGACGTCCAACCAAATGAATAAGTAATATATGCATTATTAAAGACACAAATTATTTGACAATATACTTCAAAATGAAAAATAAATAAATAAATGAAAATAAGAGACATAATAAACAAACAGATCACGGCAACTTTTAGGCTCTATTGGTTTTAATTTCCATCAGGAAAAAAAAACAAAAACCTTAAATCAACTGAAAAGCGCTGTAACTATTTGTCAGCTGACAGGTGATTTCCAGACATAAAATAAAATTCAAAACTGATGAAGAATTGCATACATTTGCCACATTTGTCACGATAGATTTTTTTTAAAAAATGTAATTAAAATTTGAATGAAACAATGCAAATATTGAAATATGACATCAATCTTTTACATTTTTTGATTCATGAATTGTGAAAATGTAAAGTGTGTCATTGTATTGTATTTAAAAATTCATTTTGAAGAGGATGACAAAAGACCCTCCTCTGTTTTGACATTGATTTTCAGACGGTGTACGACGAGTGGTTCATCACGCTCTACAATCTGGTGTATACAGCATTGCCTGTCCTGGGGATGAGCCTGTTTGAGCAGGTAATATATATTTTTTTATTTATTTTTGTACGAGATACAAAAAAGAAATAATAATTTGAGCTCAAGAGTTTCTACAAGTTGTAAGACAAAGTACGCTCTTTGTCTCCCCCTGCTGGTCAGGATGTGAACGACGTGTGGAGTTTCCAGCATCCTCAGCTCTACGTTCCCGGTCAGCTCAACCTGTACTTCAGTAAAAAGGCCTTCTTCAAGTGCGCCCTGCACAGCTGCTACAGCTCCCTGGTGCTCTTCTTCATCCCCTACGCCGCCATGCACGACACGGTGAGGGATGACGGGAAGGACGTGGCCGACTACCAGTCCTTCGCCCTCCTCACGCAGACTAGTCTGCTGTTTGCCGTCACCATACAGGTACGGGGTTTCTCTCGGATCACGTTTTGCATTCCTGAGACATAAAATTAAATGTAGTGAATGTACATGATTTTTAAAACCTGTTTCCTCTCTGTGTCTGCAGCTGAGCTTGGAGATGTCGTACTGGACGGCGGTCAACACGTTCTTCGTCCTGGGCAGTCTGGCCATGTACTTCGCTGTCACATTCACCATGTACAGCAACGGCATGTTCATCACGCTGCCGTCAGCCTTCCCTTTCGTAGGTGAGGAGGAAACTCATCACATCAGGCTGCTTTAGACTGCAGTTCACATTTTCTGTTGGTTAATGATGCCATGTCTGATTATTCTTTTACACAAGGCAGAATAAATTTAATTAGTTGAATCTTATTATCGGATATGAATTATGCTCAATGTGCAAATATTTGGTTTACAACAAAACCAAAACTCCAAACTGGCTTTGTCACAATCAGGCCAAAATCTTTTAATCGTACATTCTCAGCCCTTATCTGCACTAATACAGATATTTTTCTGGTGGAATATTCTTAAATAAATACATAAATAGAACCTCCATGTCAGTAGGCAACAATGGCTATGATTTTAAACAACATCCAACCTTCACTACCACCTTTTTCTTCTCTCTCGACCATTTTTGATCTGTTTCTAAAGAAAAAGCCATCTGATATAGATACAATGAGTAAACTGGCATTTCTTTGCACTTTTGGGATTTATATTAACAGCAGTGTCTTTACAAATATACATATAATTTATTTTTACTTTACAAATAGCATTTATTGATCTCTGTAAGTGACTAGTAGGATTTACACCAGTGTTGACATGTTTCTTTAACACTTGGAGTAGCTTTTGTCATGTTTTTATAACGCTGAGAGTGAAAGAGAAATCATTCGATATCCAGAAATATTACAAAAAGGGTTGTACTGTAGGTGGAAATGTGTTTAATGTGGGGTAGTTGTTCTTTCGAACAATAATGAATGGGAATACATTTCAATAACAAAATGTATTATTGTCAGTTTTGTCTGTGAGGCAGTTAGAATTTGTATTTATTGACCATAAACAGTGATGACGGTTGAGGTTAGAGGTCCACAAGCGGTGATTTAAGACACAACCTTGCGTGTGTTTTGTTTTTTTTAATGCAGGAACGGCTCGAAACTCTCTGAACCAGCCCAACGTTTGGCTGACCATCTTCCTCACCTCCATCCTGTGCGTGCTTCCTGTGGTCACCTACCGATTCCTGCTGATTCAGCTCTGCCCCACCATCAACGACAAGGTACAGCCACCGTAAATTTGCAGTGATGGCTAAAGTGCTTGTTGGACTGCTTAGACAACTTATACCTCTATTTTTAGCTTTTGGATGTTTCCAGTAAAAAGTCTGGAGGTTTAGAGCAGATATTTTTTTTAAACTGTAAAGCTCTTCCTGCTGTCAGCGTGACTTCACAACATTTAATTATCTCCGATATCCATCCATGCTCCAATGTCCGTAAATCTGCTTAGAATCATTGGCAGCGAAAGTGTCTTATTATGCCAGAACCATAGACTGTATAAAAGATGGACGGTGCAACCGGCCCTGAAAGATGAAGCCAACCCGGAAGTGTCAAAAACCTGCAATATCACTACGTCCACTAGGTGCTGGCTCCAAAAAGCCCTGGCTCCAAAAAGCCCTGGCTCCCATAGAAATTAATTGGAAAAGAAGTGATCACAGATCATGAAATACTGCATTCCTACAGCTCAGGATTTTTTTTCTTATTAGTTTTCATGGTCAAGTCCAGAGATCAGGTGGCCAATCTGAAAATAGGTCAATACTGAATTTTTAAAAAATCGTCAACATTTTGCGGGGCAAGGGGCGTGGCTGGCTTGATTGACAGTCGGCAGCGACCATACAGATGAAGCGAGCAGAAGGCGGTAAATGTGGGCGGGCAGAGAGGGCCCGCCTCTCAATCCGTCTGACCAATCGCTGCTCCTATGGTTCCGACGATTTTTGTGTCACTGGCTCCAAAAATCCAAGATGTCAACCAGGAAGTAGCAAAACCCTGGCTTCATTTTCTCAGTGCAGAAACCAACGGGTGACATCACGGAAGCTACGTCCATCTTTTATACAGTCTATGGCCAGAACATGTAATGGGAACTTTAGATCTAGGGATAGCTGTCAATACTAGCTACTACATGGCTAACTCAAAGCTTTTCAGACATAGAATACAAAAATTGCTGGTTTGTTAATGTGGTCATAACCCAACACAACTACATAGAGAACTACTGTAAGCATGCAATATTCATCATACAAGATTTTAAAGCACATTTGGTGATGTATACCGCACAATAAAGCACAAACAACCACAAGACTAAAGCTAAGCTAACAGGAGCTTATTAAATTGTCCAAATAATTAATAGTCTATTATATTTATGATTTCCCTAAACTCCAAAAAATTCCGTCCGTGTGTGATGATAATCTAACGACCACTTTACCAACAGCAAAATAAAAATATCCGACAGCTGTGACGGAGGACGACTGCTACAAAACAAAGGATTTAACAGCAGCTTATGAACTGTGACTATGTGACAGAAAAGTCCACAGTCTGACCTGCTGCTGGATGTTGATCCATCCTGATTTCTTATAAGTAGTTCATGAGGTTACTCCAGTTGTGTTAAATAAAGTGTTCAGCTCCCTGTTTGGAGACTTTCATATGGATCCTGCTGCTATCTGATGCCATGAATGTCTGAAAGAGGTTTCGCTGAGTTCATTGCAACGTTACACTTTTCCCAAAACCATCAATTTATGGAGCTTGTCGTTGCAAAATGTAGACCATGATTTACCCCCACATAGATGGGAGATAAAGAACTGATGAATCCATTCATCTATGGGTGCACATTATCCACAAAGGAGGTGAACAGTAGAGTTTTGTCTCATGGTTATTTGAAGAGATTTCCAAAACATCTGCCTCTTATAATCACAGTGTTTCAGTTTTAAGTGTGCTCCCCACACAACATAACAAACTCATCAAACTTCTGTCTTCTTGTCGAATTTCAACAAGTATTTGAATATGTTTGCTTCATGTTTCCAGCCTTTTAATTCTGTCCCTATCTCCCCAAACTTCCAGATAATGTTTAAGGTGAGACAGGCCAAAGCTTTGCCTCCTCCTCCGCCTCGACGCACTCGTATCCGCCGCACCAGCTCCCGCCGTTCGGGCTACGCCTTCTCGCACGCGCAGGGCTATGGCGACCTGGTGACATCAGGTTGGTTCCTGAGGCGACCCGCCATCTCGAGATCTTCAGGCTTCGGCCACGCGGGTCGAACCACCACAGGCTTCAGTCCAATGGGACGATCAGCTGGTTACAGCCCGACCGGACGCCCTCAGAACGCCAAAGCCCCGGACGTGGAGGTGACGTCTCTGCAGATGTACAGAACTATCACAGATCCTGCGCTCTGACGGACAGCAGACTGAATCTATGTTTGGAGATAAGCTGGGAGCAAGAAGAACGTGGACAGCTGCATGTTGGAGTTTATGAAGCTCCTGTTTGAGAACTTGCTCGGGCTTTCCATGAAGATTTTCAATGATCCGCCTCTCATCTGTCAGACATGAGGTTTGGAAACTTTTGCTCCACATTCTGAAAACCAAAGGGAACTACGGCAACAAGTGTAGCTGCTTCTGATGGGTCGCGTCCTTTAGATCCTGAGGGTTCATGTAAAACGTGCCTCACGCAGAGCAACAGGTGAGAGGATGAAGTAATCAGGACGAGCAACAGGGTGATTCTTGTTCAATAGGAACTACAGAAGAGGAAGAGCTTCATGTCCAGAGAAGGACAAAGTGTCATCGTGTTTACAGGCGACCCAGACTTTCCGAACGCTGGGAGTCCGGACGCACAGCTGGGCTTTGTGCAGAGGAAACAACCAGCGAAGCCATGGTGCACAAAATATTTTAATTTTGTACCTTTGCGAGTCTTTTTAATGCGTTTTTTTTTTTTCCTATCTTGAAAACTGTACAAGTAGTCGGCACTTTGGCAGCGTCGTATGGGAGTGGAAGATAACGGAGAGTTTAAAATCAGGAAAATGTGGAAAACTGCTCCCAGAAAACCCCTTTGAATCCATTAGTCACCAACTATTAAACTAATCGTCACCTTATTTGATAGTTTCTCATTTGATTTAATTCAAATTTAGGGGGAAAAAAAACCACGTCTGAATTCTAGGAATATTTTCTTTCTTTCCAAGACATTTGAAGACATCCTTTTGGGCTTCGGGAAACACTGATTGACATTTTACAGCACAAATAACTAATCGATTCATCAAGAAAATAATGAACAGATTAATTGACAAGAAAAATATTCAATACTTGCAGGAAGTTTTTCACAGTGAGAAAAATGCTTTTGTCGCAGCATTGTTGCTCATTCAGTTTCTAAAGGATGTTTGGACTTTTGCTTTCTAAGTGCTGAGAGAATTTTAGAAATTAATCAGAGAAAATAAAAGAAAAATCTCCAGGGTTGTTGCTGCAGAGGAATCCTGATTTGGATTTATATAAATTCTAATCATTGATGCCACTGTGTAATGAAAACCACCGTATACTTTAAGGGCTATGAGGCCTAACTAATAGTTTTAATTATAGTTATAATATAATGAGTTATTGATTTACAGAAAAGAAACAAGCCATCATTAAAAAAAACTTTTGGACTGCCAGGGTATGAAAACCTCTTTAGTGGATGTAAATCTTTCTCTGATAAATGTATCTCATTATTAAATAACTTTTCAGTGCTTCTTGATCTTAGTCTGCAGGTTTGGAAGATTAATTGCAAGATGAATTTGAGGAGCTCACAAGATAAAATGCCTAATTTTGTAAAATGCTGAATAGTTTATAAAGATTGAACAAATATCAAGTCCTGAGATTGGACTATCACTCTTTTCGTGAGTTTAAAGTGACCGAAAATGCTTAAGTGGCCCAAACAAAACCCCAAATATGACCAACTATTGAGTCATTGAAAAGGCATTTTGCATAAAATCTGTCTTTTGAAAAGCGGCCACAGTTTGTGTGGATGCAAGCAAGGAGCATAATTTAGATGTAAATGGATATTCTAAGTGGAGAGGATTGACCTTGTCCATCCATCTGTGATCTGTAACCAACAGGATTGTGGAAGGATACAGAAAAAAAGTGATTTTTCACAACCTGGCAACCCAAACGTTTTGCTCTCCAGTGTCTTATTCTAATCTCTTGTCTTTGTTTTCTGTTAAAAAAAAAATTCAGCAGTTGCAATGACTAAACCGTCCATAAAGTTTTCCTTACTACCAAGTGGCCTCATATTAATAAAGTTGCTTTTTGAATGTGGCAGCTGAAAGTGGACGTATCCAGGATGCAAACTACAGGGTGTAAAACTTTGACAATATGGTATTTGTGCCATGCATTTCTATTTTTCTGTGTCTTCATCAGCATGAATCATGTGGAAAATTAGACTCTTATTGATGTGTAATTCATGCATGAAGGCAATTAATCACTTTAATAAAGCAGCCGTCACCATCAAACTGTGATGATGCACTCTAATAAACTTTGTCTCAAAGATCTCAAAACAAGAACTTTGTTGATGCCAACCACTCTAAAACAAAAAAGAAAGAAGAAATCAAATCCTCTGTGCTGCTGAAATCAGGCTACTTTTCATCTTTTCTCTTATTCTTACTATTTAAATTCTTACATATAGGAATAATGATAACGAGAAGCTAAACCAGGTTCTTTATAAATATTGCATCCGTCCATTCTGACCACAAAATGTATGTCTAGATCCGAGTTTAGCGGGAGTTTTGCGCCATACTGGCACCAGAATGTGTCCTAAATGCTCCTGCAGTGAGCAGACTTTGCTTCCCTGTGAATGTCTGATTTTGCCTGCGGCAACTTTTGAAATAGCAAAGAAGAAAAATGCACGTTTCCACCTCATCAGGATTTCAAAACGCCGTTTGCTTTTGGGAAAATCAACCGCATCTACCTGTGTTTTGGGAGGTTCATCGCACTGAACACACACTACAGAGTTGCCTGGCTGATCCTGTAATCCATTCAGGGACGCGTTCACATTTGTGTCCTTGACCGTCTGTTTGATCATGTTCAGTGCAGTTTTTGCTGCATTCAGTCAGAGCTGACCAATAGTGATCCTTAAAAACACCACTTAAACCATTCCTGTAGACTTTTAATCGTGCAGTACAAATCTTAATCATGTATACCTCATATTATATCTGATCCTGTTGTGCTTTGTGATGATTTCAAAGTCATGCTCGCCGCTGTACTGTTTGACAATCAGCTTGGTGGTTCTAATTAAGAGTTTCAGTGCATCTTTACTTCCACGTCTTTTTCTCCACTTTCAACGTACTAAAAAGAAAACACAGATGCTGCCTTAATGATTTTTTTATGCAACCTAGAATTAATATGAGAAGTTTTACGTAGCCCAGTTGACAAAAGCAAACATTTTTTTACAGCCAGGTGGAATTTCAGATGTCATGTCAGTGTTCACATGACAGCTTTAAAGGAAACTCCGAGTGACTTTATAATTGTACAGTAATGGTGTTTAATATTTGATAGATGCCCTTTATTATCTTTCCCATGCCTCCATGGATGTGCAACTTTTCCACCTATATTTGACTTTAGGTCAGTTAAAATGAAAACTTGTTGAAGCAACTGCGTGTTTGTAGCTGAACATCCGATTGTTGCCCAGAATTGAATGTATTAACTCGAACCTGGCGTTGAACCGAAGAGTTATTTAAGAATTTGTAGATTGTTGCTCAGCAGCCAGAATTGGATGCTGGAAGTCAGTGTGGTGAAGCTGGTTTATACCACTGACAGCACAGTTGTTATTTGCTGTAAAATGTTCTTTATGGAAAGTTTGTGTCTGCAGAAGAAACATTTCTTGCATGTTTCTGTGACTGATGCTGTAACTGGACTCTGCCCAGGTGTTTTCTGTTTTTAAAATCAAGCTCATAGTCAAGTATTTGCAAGAAGAAGCAAACTCATGTTGCAAATTTGGTGAAATGAGCCTTTAAATGTTATTCAGCAAAGCTCTGTCTGCAGAATAAATGAAACAAGAGTGGCCACTACACAGTACAATAATGTACTGAGGGTCTTTCCCCAGTTTTTCTTTGGTACATGAAGAAATAAATTGCAGCAATAATGTAAAAATTCCATATTTATCATTAGATTACTTTTTTGCATCTCTTGCCTTGAAGACTGAAACTGTTACAGGATTTTTGATAACAAAGAAAATGGAGTGATTTGTAGCACTGCTCTTCTGATTATCTTTTTTGTATCATTTTGTATCTTCAAAAAGTTTTTACTGCAATAAAAAAAAAATGAATCTAAAAGATGAAGATGTGTGTGCAGATGTTGTTTTTCCCAGTGAGATGAAGATGTGCTGCAGTCTCCTTTTTTTTTTTTTAACTTTGTGCATCTGGAGTTTTTCTGTTATTGTCCAGCCTGAATGCAGTGAAACCTTTAAAACTGGTTTTGACAAAAAACAATAATTTGAATATAGGTTGTGTTGTAATACAGAGCTGGGGGTTCTACTCAAATATATAATGTACTACACCTTATTCAATACTTTTTGAAAAAGAGATGCATTATTTTATTGATTTACTGCCAGTAGAAAGTAAGAGGTACTGTCGCATTTTTAATTTTTACATTTATTTTCCCTCATATTACCTGTAATTTAATAAAACAGGGCAAATCTGCAAATAACTTAAAAAGTTATGTATAATTTTTCAATTCAAAATATATATCATGTTTCTTTCAAATAATGGCAAATATTTGTAAAGTTATTTTTTAATAAATTCTGATTTAAGTACAGAAAAATAAATAGTTATGACTGTAGTTTAGGCAATTTCATGGTTAACATTGTTGTTTTGTTTTTTTTATGATTAACATCTGAATTAATATTTATATTCTGCAATTTGTATGTGTATTCTGTAATGAACAAAACAGGAAAGATCTGTGAAATAGTCAATTAACAGTAAATTATTCAAGAAAAATGGCAGTTAAAAAGCAGTGTACGTTTTTAAATTTCCACCCCAACAGTCTTTATAAACTCCATCAGTTTCCGCTCCACAAATCTGAGGCCGAAGTGAACAACCCTTGGCTCTCTGAATAACAGACACTAAGGCGACGTTTTAATTCTTGTCACTAGGCCTTCGTGAGATGTCTCAAATTCCCTGAGAATTTGACATTTTTCCTTCGACATGATCAGAACTGTGAATCAGAGCATAAACAACAGCCTTTAAACAGTGAGTCAGAGGACACTGATGTTATTAAAGTGCAACAAATGATTATTATAATCATTATAATAACAGGCGCTGAATGCACCACGCTTAGTGGGCTTTGGAAAATGATGGTGGGTTGTGTTGTAATAACAGCCTGGACCTGGTGCAGAGACCTCCGGGGTGGTGGAGGTTAACAAAACCTAACAAAGTCTTAATCAAAGCTTTAAAATGTTTACCAGCATAATGGCTCCACTTGTGGAAAATGCCATCTGTTCAAACAGCAGCTCTCAACAGTTCAGCTTTGAGTCCATGTTTGTCTTCCTTGTATCACCCGTCCTACACACCAGATGTCCTCAGTCTGTCTCCTGTCCACCTCACCTGCTCCCAGCTCCCCCAGTCAGCTTCCTCTGTCCTCACCAGCCCTGCAGTAAACACAGCAGCTCTCCTAATCCAGGCGTTCTCAGGTTCTATTGTGTTTTGTGTTCAGCCTTTTCTGACCTTTGTGACCTCTGCTTGCTCTGTAGTTTCACTCGATCTTCCAGCCTGCCTATGAGGCTCTGTTTTGCATTTCCAAATAAACTACCTTGAACTGTTGCCGCCTGCTGCTGACACACAATCTGTGACATTTTGCAGCTGTGAATAAACTGAAAACTGTTGCTAAAAGATGCATAGCAAGCAGTTGTGTATAGGATGGACATGCACAGGGGCACTGCTGCATGTTGGTAGAAGCTAAGATTACAAATGTAGATATTTTGCAAGATCCCTCCTGTGCAGAAAGGACTGAAGATGAAATACTGTTTGCAACATCTAACACCTTGTCAATGTGAAAATTAAATTTGATCTAATTAAACCAGGGAATTAACCACAGCGATATGACTTTAACATCAGGTAAATGCTGTTTTATATGCGGCTCATCACCAGCAGATGGTGTAACACTCCTTCACACAGTAACATCCAACAGCACCAGCCTGATGTTTCCAATTACCGTGTAATCCCGAAAGAATCTTATTGTGCCGGAGCTGCAGAGGAGAGACAAAGACTTGTTAACCCTTCAACAGGACATGTTCCGTTTATATTATTTGCATGCACAAGCTGTAGTACGTGCAGGATGCAATATAATATGATTTATGAGGCATGATGGCAGTCTCGTGCACAGAGCGAGTTTACTGCGTGACGCTGTTGCTGGAAATAGGCGTCATATATGACTAGAAAACTTCATCTGAGGTGCCAAAGAGAACATCTGCGAGCATCCACACAAGTAAAATGGACCTTAGGGGCTCCACAACTGTACAATAATACAAGCTACCTAATAAAAACACATTTTTATCATAGAATATCTTTTAATTAAAGATTATGTCTTGTGTTTTGGGGTATTTATTATTCAGATTTCTTTGTTGTCTTTTCTAGTTGTTTTCATGTCTTGATTGTATCTTCTTCCAGCATTTTTGGGATGCCAGAGGACAACATATCCGCATGTTTTACCCGTTTTCTATTGTCTGTTATCTAACATCTACTCCATTGTCTGCTCATAAAGCCGAACAATGCACGTCACGAGGTTTACACGACATGTATTCTGTCAGAGCAGTGGTTGGAACTTTTATTTTTCTTTTCAATATAAGCCCATTTTGCAAGTACTACATGGTCCTATTTACTTTTTTAGCCAAGATTTCAATTCAGAAATGTTGCTGTTGTTGGACTATTTTATATTCTAGTGTCATAGTTTCCCTGACAATTTTGGATAACTTGTAACGGGCATTTCTCTCTATTTTCTGACACTTAAAAAAAATGCATGACACCTCCAATATAAGCAACAGATGATTCAATAATCAAAATAATAACTGTGTCTGCAGCCCTGTTTGTACAGTAAGACATGTGAAGGAGACCAGAGCAGATCAGCGCTCCAACACTTCGCCTTGACTGAGCATGCACAATACCAATCAAAGTCATAATGAGTCCCAGAGAGCCAGAGGTTAACAGGGGCCTCCTGCTCTAATTTGTAAAGTTTGTTTTTCAGTAAATGAACCAGGGTGTAACCTGTCAGATTCCCAGTGCATGCTGGGACGGGCTCCAGCCCCCTGCTAAGGAAGGAGGGGATGGAGGGGGAGTCATTTATTCTTATACACAAGTTTATTCCAACCAAACTGTCATAATGTGTAGATTTACAAATGGAAGAGTCACATGTACTGTATTTATGAATCAGACAGTCAAATATGATTAGATGTTTTTCTGTGAGTAACAAGTAATGTAAATCTACAGTAAGTTAATGATTGGTTCTTATTAACTTTGTGTCTGGCAAAACACAGCAGCCTCTTCAGCTTCACTGTACAAAGTTTGATTAAAGATCTGTTCAAGTGAATGTCATTCACCTTTCTGCTGGCAATTTACTTTTGTGGACTCTATCAACTTGAAATTACACTTTCTGCCATTTAAAAAAAATGATTTCAGTACATCTAACTTAAATCAATGGCTATATTATTGCTTAATTTGAATAAACGTAATTGATTTGTGCATTACCGATTGAAGCAATTCATTTAAATTGGTCCAACAAATGTCTTTTTACAGTACAGCAAGAGTCTTTTTGATTTAGTCTCTATTAGATTGATAGGAAGCTGTTTGAAGCAAATGTAAAGAAAGATCCAAAATTCTAAGACCACACAGAAAATCTGTCATATTTTTGCATTAGCCTGGAAACAATCTTAACGTTTGAATATTTAGAAACACCCTGACATGTAAAGCAATGTCAGATTCTGCACCGTTTCTTGTACAGCAGTGCAACTAAAGCATATTTCTGACATTCACTCCTTTGCACAAAAGGTCAGATTTCCTTGAGATGTGTCCTTCCATTGAAGCAGCATTCAAACAAAACTCAGGTGGATTTGATCGACTCCTCAGAGGCTTGTTAAAATAAATAAATCTGCAGCCACTGTTCATCTGTTGGAAATATGACCGCGCCTTCAGTTTTCAGCAGAACATTGCTCATCAAGTAGCATTGCTATTGTGCAAGAGATCAGATTGTTTTTCTGAAAAAAAGAGGCTCTTTCTCAGCTTCAAATCATGGCTACACTGAAGGATTTTCAGGGAGCAGTGCATGGCCATTAGAAGATCAATACATCAGGCTTTGTTCACTGAGAGATAGAAAATCAGCTTCATTGCAGAGACAGAATTTACTAAATAAAAAACACAAGACTCCAATCAGAAAAAAGTTCTCTCAAAAGAAGGCCATTTATCAGTGCATCAGGGAGCATCTCCAAACCAATTCTAACAGTCAGAAGAAAGGAGAAGTGAGGCAAACAATAAAACAATGAACTCTCCACTGTGTCACATGTCCAATAGTGGATTTGTAATCATACAATTTATATTAGATTTACATTCTAACTATAAATGTTGTGTAATTTAATTTGACTTCACTACTAGAATGAAGAAACTGGCTTGAACTTTGTAGTTTTGCTATGAGACAATGATATTTTCTAAATTAAAGTAATTTCATTGTTGCTTTACTGAGAAATGTGCCAGATATCAGTAATACAGACTGTTTTAACGCTCCAAAGACAGGAGGAGTTGAGAAAAACAATAAAGCAATGAAGTATTCACTGTTCTGGACGTCTAAAGCTGACTTGTGATCATGAAATCTTCTAAAAAATGATATTTATATGTTAACTATTAATATAGCATGCGTTCACTTTAATTCATTTAAAAAGTTAAAGAAAAAAGACTTGGAATTTGGAGTGACAATATCAGATTTTCAAAAATGAACTAAACTGCTCATTTTAACGACTAAAATGTGTATTTTAGGCACAAATTCTCACTTTAGGAGTGATTAAAATAAAAGCGAAAGGTTTGCTGCCCTCCTGCGACCGAGTGAACTGACACACCGGTGCTGCCTTTGGGGCACGTAAAAACTCGGCAATTTCAGCTTCCTCGTAGGAAAATACAGTTTCCTCAGCATTCCCGTGTGGCAAACGATCTGCAAATGAAATGCGTTGATCTTAAAACAGCGAAGATAGTTTTTTAAACATTTATTTGTTTTGCTTTTGACTGAATTGTGTTGGCATCTTTTCGCTAACGGCAAACAACGTGAGCTATCCTCACAGCCTCGTCTGGCCGCTCCAGCGGCGACTCCCCCCCACTTATTTCCCGCAGACCTCGAACGCAGCGGCAGGACCAGACTGCCTTACATTGTTAACGTTGATTTCTCCCGTTTCACGGCAGCATTTTGTCTTCCGTGAGCCAAACCCGGGTCACGGGCTTCCCTGCAACAACAAAAACACACAGAAAAAAACACAACGCGTGAATTCTGGACCACGTTTGGCGGCGGGACACACACCGGGAAACTGTGAGCTACTTTACGGTACATTTTTCCAATTTCTGTCAGTTTTGTCGCTTCGAGAAAGAGCCAGTAACGGTCGCAGAAACATACTAAGCTAATGTTGATTTCTTAGACTGCGAGGGGGGAATATACACGGGCTAGTCTCGGGTTTTTAAATAAGCACCTTTAATGTATTATATTGGTTGTTGGGTTAGTTTTTTTTTTTAAAAGGGAAGGGCGAGTTTTTTTTCGTTACACCTGTCCGCGGTGGTTCCTCGGGAAGATAGCCGCCGATGTGACTTCACTCAGCAGTCATTTTCCCCGCTGGACCCAAAGGGGGAGGTTAGCGTGTTTCCCATGGCTACACCAAGCTTTCTCTGGGGGTTATTTGCATTCCTATCCAGCCGGTGCTGACATACCTATGCTTGTGTTAACCTCAAATTACACCTGGCAGCCCCAAATAATTCAAACAGCTGCCCGGGAAAAGAAGAAGAGGGAGAGTAGAGGAAAGGAAAAAGCTCCGGGTGTCGTGACGGCGCCCCGGAGGTTGCAGGTTCATCGCTCCGCTCCTTTTGTTGACCAAACGCCCACCTTTATTCTTTTTTCCCCCTCCACCACTAAAGCTTCCCCTGCTCTAATATTTCTTTCTATGTTTCTGTGTCCCTCCCCCCTGTTGATCTGCGAAGCTCTAGCATGAGGAGGATCGGTGGCTGCAACCCTGCCCAGACCGGAGGCTTGCTGGTAGGGATGGTGCCGCTGTGAAGAGCCGGTGTGCCGTTTTCGGAGCTCTGGAGGTGGAAAGTGCCTGGACATCATGACTGTTTTCAACCCAGAAAATGTTGAGGAATTTTATGAAATCGGAGACGAGCTGGGGAGGTAAGTGTTTTTTTTTTCCCTTTACACTTATGTCTGTGTGTCTTATTTCTAGTGCGCATGAACTTCCCCCTTTTTTCATGGCTGAGGTGTGAGGAGGAAGGAAGGAGGGATACTGGGGGATTTTTCTCAGGGATAATTTAGATGTTATATATTCAGTTCACATGGAGCATTTTAACCAGGGCTGCACAATGTTAGAGAAGCTGACACTGTGGTATTAACTCTCCTGAGCTATATATTGCAATATGAAACAATACAGTGTCTTAGTTGCATGCAGGCTTGAGACATGAATGAGAAAATCCCCCCATAAGCACATGTAAGGCTCACTGATTAGCAAATTGTATGTCATTGGTTTTAAAAGACCAAAAGACCTACACTGGAAGGGTAGGGCTACATGGTATTTGAAAATAACGGCACTGGGATATTTTGTTTTTCTGCAATATGGATTGCGATATGATTTGAATCACTGTTTGGAAGGTGTTGAAGTTGCATTAAGGCTTACCGTAGTAATAGTGTTTAAGAAATCCATTTATTGGTACACCTAAGTCTCACTAATTAGCATGTTGTGTTTCAGCTGTCTAATACATACAATAGCTAAAAAGAAATGAGGGGCTGCAAGTCGGGCTGCATGGTATTGGGGAAACAGATGGGATTTTATGCTGTGATACATATAAAAAAACCTGGAAAATCACTTGTTACTGGAGACTTTTATCGAGTGCGACCCCTGTGGAACATTGCTCATATGGTGCAGCACTGACAAAGGCATCCGAAAGTGGTTTATTTGCTTAGGATGACATTCAGATCTGACTTTGCGCTTGTCATACAGAGCTTTGTGGTGCCGGTTTAGTCATGTTGCTATGTGCAGTGGCAACAATTGCAAGACACTGCTGACAGACTGTCTGTTTTTTGGTCGACATCAGCCTTTCTGTAGTTCCTTTCGGATGTTGCGGGGAGTTTTTTTGCAACCAAATCTTCTTTTTCATTGCTGGTTTCCTATCATCGCTCATTTTGCTGTGCACTTGTGCAGGCTGCATGTAAATAAACTCTTTATCTTGTCTATATAGTGAAAAACCTTTAAATCGGAGTTAATTATATTCTATCAAAGAGACTTCTCTTGTAACAAATTAGATCTGTGCAATCTTTCTGTTAGTATCAGCTTTGCACTTCCTGCAAATGTTGATGGTAAAATGATATATCATGGAGCCCAACTAGTGTAGTCTTATGGGTGTTCATAAGATGCCATGTTGCAACTTTGCATATAGGCAATTTGAGTCCATTCGTGGGCATAGATTTCACAGGGGATGCAGGAGATACATCTCTTTCAATATTTAGAATTTATACATTTGAAAACCCTCAAACTTTCACTCATTTTGTGTCTGAATTTTCCTTTTCCTCTATAAACTGATGCATAAAAGGCACATATTGCTGCATAAACAATCACAAGAATGCAGGAAATTAAGTGTTTAGTGGACAAAATTTCCTAGGGGAGGACACCCAGACCCCTGCTTAGTCGTAATCTACGCCTATGCACATGATGCATACTCTCACTCATGCATGCATGCACACACACTGTGCCTGTGTGTAGCCGTCAGGACATGCATCCCCCCTCTGTGAGTGAATCTGATAGGCTTTGATTAATGCAGTCCATAATGCATCGTTGGCAGTGATGAAGCGGTGAGCGTTTGTTACTGTAGCTGCCTCTTCAGGGAGATTTATTGCGCGAGGGCATTGATGATATCACTGTGCGTCTTTACAGGGAGAGGATTTACATCCTGGTTTCACTTCATTCAATTTATGTTTGGTCAAAGGTGGATGCTGACAGTGGGAGTTAAGGTGGTGAATACAGATGCATCCGTCTGACAAATGTATACTGGAGTCCGTTTACAGGATAGTCGGGTTGTTTGTTGTCTGGAAAGTTGCCTAAATGACAGAGCAGAGTGGCTCCGTGAAGGCTGCAGAGTGAGTGATATCCTTGATTTGCTGTGCTGTCCTGTTAAATACGAAACCACAGTGTGAAAACAGGTGGCTGTCTTGTTGTAAGCCTGACATAATTATTAAGGTAGAAATAACTCCAGCGAGGGTGTATTTGTCACAACAGTGAATCGCTGATGGCTTCTCCTTTGCTTGTCAGAAACATGAGAATAGATCTTGATGATTATCAAAGTGACACCGGTACACCTCATTTGTAATAATCAACCAGTTGTTTTCTGGTCTGCGGGGCCTTTATGGCATCTCTGCTGTTCCTTCTGCAGCTCACCTTCCTGCACTGTAGGTCAGAGCAGACTGCTTCACTGTGATACTTTGGTAATAGAGACGATTGGGGAGCTCTATGTAATAGGATTGAATTTCTGTCTGGAGGTAAAGAGACGGCTACATGAGAGCGATCGCACCACCATCAGGATCTGTTCCCTGCTGTGGTTTGAGTAGGAGAATAGAGAGCTTCAAGCAAGTTGTCTGTCATTGTAGTGTGATAACCACAATTTTCCAACATTTGGAGTGTTGAAATATAGTAAATACTAAAAAAAAAAAAGTCTCACTCCTGTAATAAAAGCATCCATACACGCTTCTATTTTGAGTGTGTTCCAGTGGAGCGCAGCCCAGATAGAGTATTGCACAAGTCGCCTTTGGAAGGATTTCATTTCTTTATGAGAGAGAAGAATTATGCATGACTTGGGGGAAGCTCAAGGTACACTGGATATTTAGCATCAGCCAGAGTTTGAAAATACATCCAGTACTATCTACTCATGAACAGAAGTGATTGATATGTCATTGGCTCTACAAGACATGCAGCTTGTTTGCAGCACATTTGTTCAGTGTTTGTGTGTACTGGGGATTTAAGTGAACTTGAAGAGAGTTGGTGAGTTATTTTTCTCCTCTCCCAGCCAGAGATGATCGAGATTTCATGTAAAATCATCCCTTCTTTGTGTATTTAACAGTATGGCTATGGTCTAATGACACAAAATTCACAACAGCTTTCTAATTTTTGAAATCTGCACTCTTGAGACTACTGACTATGTTCTATTTTCAACTGCTGATGTCCAAAATCAGGAGATAAACTTTATTTATGTTTTGAGCAACGTTTTGCGCCAAGTTAAGGGTAGGGCTGGACAATTATGACCAAAATTATTTATGACCAATATTGAGATTGTGTCAAAAATGCCTCACTCGTTGAACATCTGCTTTTTACAGACACTACAATTTACCAAACCTCCCTAAATGCAAGCAACAGTAGACACGAGCTAGCCGGCTATGCGCAGAGAAGCCTCGAGTCTCCACTCAGTTACTGCAGTGTAGCAACTCAGACAGGTGTACAACCACAAATCACTTGAAAAAGAATGAAGTAAGATGTTGTAATGTCAGATTTACCCAAGCTAATCTGATTTTATCTGCACGGGTTGTTTTTTTTGAGTGAAGTGAGTATTTTAAATGTCAATATTGCGGTGAATCATGTCAAAATCCAAAAAAGAAGCCAAAATCGTGGTCATGATTAATACTCGATTAATTGTGCTGGCCTACTTGGGGGCATTGATTTTGTTAGTCATCACAAATGAGCACCTCTGCATGCAGTTAAGAGAGTTTGCAGGATCAGAGTTACTGCACAAGGAAAGCCTCACAGAAAACAGTAAAGAAAAGGATACAGGAATTACTATGGTCATGCAGTGTTTACAACTTTTTCCTCAAGTATTCATTTGCATACCTAAACTCCTGTGACCTTTGGGATAAGCCGGCGTTAGTTAATGATGAAAGCTTGTGCGTCTTTCTTTTCCTTGGCAGCCTGACCTGCGCTATAGAGCCTCGCACGCTTACAGACAGAGAGGCTTTTGATCTGACTGTACTTCAGGCCTGACGCTGGCTGGACTTGGATTGAGGCCCATTTAGTTTGGCAAAATGGGAAAATTGGAAATCAACCAAGCAGTGACTTTATCCTTTCACTGACACCGACACTGCCTGCTTAGGAATAGATGCCTCGCAGGAGTGATGCCTGGTGAAACCAAGCATCTAACCTTCATTAGTGTCTAGCCACAGTGAGCATGTAAGCAGTATAATAAAGAGGAGGCTGTTGAAAAGGCAATACAGCTGTAGAACTGAGCAAAAAGATTGTGTTTTTAGGCCACATTTATGCTCCGATCTTATATAATCCTACCTCAAAACGTCTCTGCGGCCACTAGAAACATTGCGAAGCCTTTCAAGTCTTCATATTTTTCAGAATGATTGTTTGATCTTGATTTAATCACCTCATGATCTCAGTCAGTCTTTCTCAGCTTTCTCTGAGCAGTGTGTTTACGTGTGTGATAACTTGGCCAATTTTTCAAGCCTTACAGAAGGCAACTCAGAGAAATGGAATTATTAGAAGTGCAAAGTGAAGTGTCATGCAGAGAATTGCTGGTGTCACAGCGGGTTAGCTGTTGAGCCTCCAGAGCAGGCATCAAGTTGTTACTTGCAGAGCTGCACTGAAGAAAGTGTGATAATCCCAAAGGCAAATGCATCAGTGGTCAAATTCTCCCTTTTGAATTGTGTCCAAAAAGTGGGCAGTTAGTCTGTATCGCCGCTCTTCTGACTGAAATTGCCACTGCTGCTGATCTCCTCCAAACCCTTTCCTCTGAAAAGTCAAGCACTGACCACATCTGTGCTCAGACAATCGCTCTAATTGCCTCACAGATTGGCAGAAAATTCTCACTTCATGCCTCCGATCAGCAGGGAATTACTGAAGACATTACAGTTGCTGGCATCTCAAAGGGTCTCCTATTTGATGCCTACTCAAAATGATGGCTAAGTGAAGAGTGAAGCATCGTTAAAGTGTTTAAAGTTTTAATAGTGGTGATAAAGTGCGTGGCTGTCAAGCTGCAGGGATAAAAATACTCTTACCTTGGGGCCTCTGTAATCTGCAGTTTTTTTCCCCACAGGGCTCCCGGAACTTATAGTTTGTATAGTTACGCTGTTACATAGTGCATTTATTGTGTTGTAGAGCAGCAAGTGAGCATCAGGCAGTTAACCTGCAACTTTTTCCAACAGTTTGATCGTTAAGGTGTTTTTAAAGCAAAAATTGCAAACATTCTCTGTTGTACATCATTGCGAAATTGAAAATTCAAGAGTTTTTTTGGTTGGTCATACAAAAATAAGATGTAGAAGATATTCCCCATCGGCACTGGAACTTTAACATTTATGTGACTGAACAGTTAATTGATTAATGGAAATAATACTTATTTCTAAAGATACAGTATAGATCCTGTTTTTTGCAAGAGATATGCACTGTTTACCTTCAGGTTTTATTTCTATGAGTGCTTTTAATACATCTTCTGAACCATAATATCACTGAAAACCTTTAAACCAAAGCCCATACCAATTAAGCTCTGATTTGATGAAGCAGCTCTCAAATGACTCTCCTCTTGTTGTTTTGGGATAGTGCAAAATCTGGGTCACTTTACAGCTTTACAATCAAGAGATAATTTTGATAAAGGGGAGGATGTGCAGAGAAAATAAGGTGTAATTGCAGGTTTTATGGAGTATTTGCCATTGCTGTTACCAGAGAAAAAGCTGCCATTATGTTAGTGGTATCTGACGCTGACTGCCTGATATCTGATCTTTCAGAATGAATTTAGGATTAGCTCAGCTTGGTTAAAAAGAAGCATTGAAGCCTTCATGAAAAAAACTTCAGTTTCCATGTTGTCATTTATTAGGAGACCAGCTGACTCAGCCACTTTCTGCCTGAGTAAAATGACATTAACCGACTGTGGAATCCATTTGGTGTGCGCCTTTCATCTGGTCCACGGGGCAGGTTTACACTTTGCATATTTTCGCAGTGCTCTGCCTCTGTCATTAGTCTGCATTAATCTGACCGCTGCGTGGCTCCCTACCAGTTGGCCCTCCTTTTGTGTCTATGCTGTGTGTGTGTGTCTGTGTGTATGTGTGTGGTTGCGCGTAGAGGAGGAGGGGTGGGTGTGTTTTTGACAAAGATTTCTGCAATGCAAATGAACGTAAAAAGCATTAAGCTGAGACTGCATTTGGGTTACTCTGCTGCGAAAATCACCCCAAAGACAAATTCCTATGAATACAAAATAGGATTATATGCAAGACATCCACATGGGTTCCTGTATTAAAAGGCGATATCATTTAGAATTCTTTTTTTCCCTCATGAAACCAGTGGTCTTTATGGAGGCACTTAAAAATAAATCTACAGAGTATTCACTGCAGCAAACTGTGACATCCTTTTTTTTTTTTTTTTTTTTGTAACACACCAGCACCAGCAATGCCTCGCATGCAGACAGTGCCCCGGCTACTGACCTAGATTTGCCCCCCCTACCCTTGGTTACATTATTGGGTGGAGGGGCAGTCTGGGTAGCAGGAGTGGCCTTGATGAGACCTGCCACTCATCCACCCCAGCCCACTCCACCCCCTCGACCCCTGGGAGCGGCCGCACTGTCGCATAAATGCAACTGCACATTTATTTTTCCATCGCCAACTCTGATTTCAAGGCTTTTCCTTTGAGTGCATTAGTACTGGCATGGCTCTTGGACTACTATTAGTGTAATAAGATAGGTTTGATTTGATGTAGTTTAAATTATAACACTGGGAAAGGAGGAAATGCAGAGTTTACACACTATGACTGAATTATGTCATATTAGTTCCTGCTTTGAATTAAATGGCTGTAATCTGTAAGGGTTGTCATCTCCTTATAAGCTGATGCCTGTTTTGCCTGAGAGCGATGGAGATGGATTTAATACAGTAGTGATTTACCCACTTAATGAAAAATGTCTATTAGGCACAATCCTGTAGCACGCAGGAGGCTTTTTAATTTCCACTGTGATGTATTTGAAATGAATAGCTATGAGTGGTGATAGTCCCATAGTGTGGCTGAATGGAAAGTCAGAGACAAGCTCATCACCTATAGAAGCTCAAACTGTGTTAACAGTCCAGAGGACAAAGACATCGCTGAAGAGCTGGACAGCTGATGGACACATGAACTGTGGAGGATGCAGTGCAGAAACGATCTAACAATTATCACTTAGAATCAAAGATTAGCCGTGTATCGGAGCACAGGTGATCCATAATCACTGTACAGAATTCCACCCAACAGTTCGATATGCAAATAGACCGCAAAGTGTAACCATTGCTTTGCTGCTGCTGTCACTTTTTATAGTAACTGCAGTGCAATCTAAGAACACAGTAATCCACTAACTGCTTTTTTTAAAGAAAGTGATTTGGATCTGCACCAAAATTGAAGTGGCAAAGTTCCACCTCTCCATCAAGTATCATTAAAATTCACAACACAGTTTTGTGTCATCCTCCTTATAGAAAAACACATTGCATTGAAAACATAACGCTGCCTCAGTGAGGAATATTTCCCCAAATCTTAAGGTGCAGTGACAAAATACAAGGCAAGGTGTTCACTCAGGCTGCACTAATGATTGTTTTCTTGATTATTCGATTTAGCTGTTTGGTATGTAAATTATTAGAAAGCCGTGGAAAATGTTCATCAGTGTTTCAACATTCAAAATGATGTCCTGAAAAATCTTGTTTTGGTCACAACCCAGTGACATTCAGTGTACCATCATGGTGGAGTAAAGAAACCAGAAAATATTCTGATTTAACAACTTTTTTTTTTCTTAAAAGATACTCAAATCAAAATCAAAATCACTGCAGCTCTGGTGTTCACATAAACAAGACACGTAAATACAGTTTACAGTTATAGTTGTGGCAAGATTTGTTTTTGCTCATCCAAAAGCGCTCCGATCCATGACGCAGAAGCTGTGAGAAGATCAGAACAGTGAGCTTTGTGATCCGTCGCATCAAAATATCTGCCCAGTGTTTACTGTTGGCATCAGATGTGTTGCAGCCTCATACAATGGGGTCATTTGCATTTCATCCCCATTTTCCCTCTTTACTCTGGAAACTTTTTTGTGCTGTATTTGCTGCAAGAGGATAAACCTTCTAACATCTAGTCATAAATGTGTTCTTATGTTAGAAATCATCAACTGTCGAATGTATAAGGGAATAAAATCAACACATTTTTAGTCAATCTGCTCCCAGTTACGACAAAAACACTGATGACAAACTGAAAAAAGCTTTCACAGCTGGGGTCAAGAGGTCAAACTGAGTTGTTTGTATAAAAGGACGCCAGTCATAATGATCATGGAAGGATAACGTCACAGAACACGTTTCCTTGGTAGCCACCTTCCTGCATGTATTTACATTTTATTCATTTAGCTGACACACTTATCTGCAGCACTGAGTACGCTGAGCACAACAGCACACCGAGCTTCAGTCTGTCTTTTGCCAACATAATCTAGCAGTAGTAGGGAGTTTATGAGTCATAGTGGCATGATAAGATTCCTGTGACCTCTAGATCATCATGAAAAAGAGACATGCTGGAAAAAGAAAAACAAAAAAAAGTAAGAACTGAGAACGGTTGTGCTCCTTGAAAGTTGGTTTTCCTGCAGGGTTTAGGTTTATAGTTGGATTTTTTTTTTTCTTGTCTTCGCTCTCTGTCTGTGTCTTGAAGGCCACTCTTGTGTAGATGACTTAAGCTCTGTGATAGCTCCAGTCAGACTCTTCAAATTGCGGTCAGCTTACAAGTCAAATTGAAATCTGACTCATTTGGAATGTCCTCGAGGAGCGTAATGAGTTATTTTCAATTAATCTCTGCAGTCAATGGAGGATAATTGGATTCCTGCCAACTGTGTTAGCGGGTGAATGCCAGGGGCTCGACACGGTGTGTGAATGTGTGTGTGCGCAAACACGTGTATGTTGGAAGTTGTGTTGGTGGTCGCGGGGAGGGGGGGGATACAATCCTTTGTGGTCAATTAGGAGAGATCTGCAGGCAGTCAAGCATGGAGACTGAGGGGCTATACACGTCAGAGAAAGACAACTTTCCACTTCTCTGTCTATCATCCTACTTGTGCTACTTTTTCAGTCTTGCTAGTACCCTGTCGCTGGCTCTGTTCTCCTGCTATTAACAGTAATGAATGTGATGGCCACACTTCAGAAAACTGTAGGTTTACATGGAGCGCTTGCATCCACTCTCAGCCCAGAATAGTTTCATTTGAAAGGGATTGTCCACTGTAGCTCTTCTGTAATGCATTCACAAGGTGTAAGTTTGTTATGTAACGCTCCTTCCGATGTGATTTTTTTGGAATATCTATTCTCTTATCGCAAATTCTCGCCCACTTACATACAAGACATTTCCCTGGGAGGAAGCAGCACTCACTATGAGACTATATTTACGAAACAAACGAGAAGCAGTTTTTGTTATGTGGCACAATTAAACCCGATTTCATAACTTAAACCTGACTTACAGCTGAAAACGTACAAACAGCCACGAAATTACTGTGCATATGTTGGTTTCTGTTGTTGCTGTGAAACATCAAGCAGTGTCTGGGTGTTCTTTTTGCTTCTGTCACATTTTTAATCACTGTGGGCTTATTTTTCATTGCAATATGAATTCTTGTACTTCTATGGAAACAGCACAACCATGGCTAGAAGTAAAGAAAACTGAAAATATCTTTTGTGCAGTATGATGAAGTTCTAATCCCATAAATAATTGATTGATTGTCTTGTGATTATTGGTCAACTTGATCTGCCACCCGAGCCACAGCCACCCAGAGAGTAGAGGATTGTAGTATGTAAATTGTATTTGACTACTACATTTTTCCTCCGTCCTTGTCTACTATCTGCTCTGTTCCTGCATTTCAGCTGAATAGTTCTGATTTTTTTGTCACATGACTGCTTATCACGGGGGCTGTAGGGTGGCGCGGTGGTTAGCACCATTGCCTCGCAGCAAGAAGATCCCCGGTTTGCGTCCCAGTGAGGACACCCGGGATCTTTCTGTGTGGAGTTTGCATGTTCTCACCGTGCAGCGTGGGTTCTCTCCGGGTTCTCCTGCTTCTTCCCACAAGGTCCAAAAACACGTTAAGGTTAATTGATGATTCTAAATTGTCAGTAGGTGTGAGTGTGAGTGTGCTTGGTTGTCTGTCTCTAAGTGTAGCCCTGTGATGGACTGGTGACCTGTCCAGGGTGTCCCCTGCCTTCACCCTGAGTCAGGTGGGATAGGCTCCAGCCCCCCTGCAACCCTAATGGGGATTAAGCAGTATATAGATGATGGATGGATGGATGGACTGCCGATCGCTACTGTGTTAGTCATGGCTTCTCAATTATGTGATGGTGCACAGATTTTTCTGTTTTTTACAGACTTTGATGCAAATTATTTATTATGGGGGATTTTTAAAAAATGAAACACATTTAATAATATAATAATGTCCTAACTTTAAGCTTAGATTTGGGTAATTTTCCTTGTTAAAAATGGAGGTTGCACGCCTTTAGTTTATGGACAGCTGGACATTTTCTGGCTCTGTTAAATGGTTTAATTTGGGACATCTTTTTAAATAGTAGCATGCCTTTCAAACCCAGTGGCAGGTTTTAGGAGTTCAGAGGATTATTTAGAAGATTTTTTGTTTATCATTAACTGTCCTTCCCTGAAATACCCCAAAAGGGGATGCTTGTGTTAAATAGACTTAGACAAAATTATAATCAGCATGGTACCTTGTGGAGAACCAGAGCTGTGTCTGTTTGATGATGGATGTGTAGTGTGTGTGTGTGTGTGCTTGTTTGTATGCATACATCCTAAAATTCATGTGGGTGTGTTTTGGGATGTTCAAAACAAAATATGTAAGCGGTAGTTAACCGTCAGCAGTGTTAGGCCTGCGAGCATATTCACTTCTGCCAGCGAGTGCATACAGGGAGTCAAGACAGTAGGCAGGTTTCTTTCCAAAAGCTGCATCCAACTGCTGTCCCACTGCATGTTTTATGTTTCCCGTCTTTGTTGATTATTAACAACAAAGAATGAACTGTAATTTTGACACACTCGTCATTTCCTTGTTATAAGTGCAATATTACTTGTACCCTTTTCATAAGAAGGTGTCTACTCCTTTACTCATGGAGAGGCTTTTTTGCACCCTCTGCGCTCTCTGATGGATGAAACCTTTTTTTTTTTTTTGCATGATTTTGAACCCAAGATAATTTCACACGAAAAGCAAAATGTCATTAATCGTCAAGACGATTAAATATCATTGTTGAAAGATATTGGGGAAGCTTTAAGTATAACCATTGTACACATGAATATATTATCTAAAGCCTCAGTCTGGCTCAGGCTTTTCTGACTGGAGCAGTGCAGCCTGAAGGACTGAGCAGACTGGCTCTGTTTGCTCTCTGCTTGGGAAACTTTTCTTTCGTTACAGATAGCTGTTGCATTGAAGACACAAGACTGCATGACTGCGCTGGTTCTGCCATTACAAAACTGTCATTTGTCCAAAATAGTTTCATTCAGATATAGTCATAAAATAGCAAATGCTGTTTTATGTCTTGTTATAGGAGCCACACTTGGGCGATCTAAGTATATATGTTTTAAAATGAATAACAGCAGGAGAAAAGCTTGAGTGTTTTGGGTTTCAAAATGATTGCTTTGTGTGATCCTGGTGCATTGGAATGTTACTTTAGGTTGTACAGTAAGTGATTCGTTGAGAGCCTCACTGATTACTCAAGTATTTCACTTTTCTATGTCCACATTAATACTTTCTTTGCTTTTAGATGTGTAACTTTTGCTACATTTGCGCCCAGTAGACAGCCACATTTGCTTTCTGATTGGGTCAGATGTCAAATGTCTTTATGTGATTGGTGACACTTACATACTTTCAGAAGCAGCTCCTCCTTCTTGTCAGTGCAAACAAGGATATCTCTGAACGTTTTGCTTTTGCCACCTACTCCAGAGTATTATCTACAACTAAGCAACAAACCCTCTGTTTTCTGTTTACACCAGCATGTGCATGCCCAGTGGATTTTCAGATTTTAGTGAGGGTGTCAATAAGGATGGAGATTATTTCTAAAATGGTGCTAAAACACTTGTCTGAACAGAGGTCACTATAGTTTTTTGTAGATGTAGCCTTTGTTCCTGGTAATTTCCATCTTTGTTTAGTGTAGCTTCCAGCTTTGTTGACCAAATGAACCACCTGCCCTGTGTGGGTGCACCTCATCTAAACAGCCAAAAAAGCTTTAAGTTGCCAGAAGTTTTCTGTCTTCATGAGACATTATCAATATTTAAAAGTTTCTAATTTTAGTATCAAGGCAAGTTTCCATCCTGAATGTAATTTATTTCTCAGGCCCCATTTTAGAGCAAGATCTGCCTAAAGAAGTGGGGGGTTTTTAGGTCAGCCCTGACATTCGGTGGAATTGGAGAGCTTTAGGACAACAAGCATAGTCTGTGCTGTACACAAAAGCAAATTCTGCCTGGCCCAGCTGGCACAGATGACTGCATCTCTGGTGAACTTCTGTGTCCATTCCCATGTGTACTCTTAAGCTCCATAGGAAGTAACAATCCTCAGTCCTCAAGGTATGAAGCTACTCAGTGTTTCCATGGCCGTGATATATGTGTTTTCTTGCACATGTATGTCTGAAGGATTTGCTAATAAGGTGTCAGAAATGTGCGTGCAAACATGTTTGGTCAGCGCTTTGACAAACTGGTCAGCTGTGGTTATTTTGAACAGAAGTGAATTCAAAAAGAAGGCATCAGCTTTCTCCAGTTGTTTCATGCTATAGCACCGATGGCTGCAACACTCTGACAGCCTGACACAAGAAATCAATCTTGCTCAAAGTGCCTGCATTTGCATACTTGCAGGGACTACGTTTGGGCCTAAAGGTATGTCAGTTGGCCTGAGCAGGTGTGCCGTACACCTGAATGGCTGAACAGAGTTTTACGAGCTGCTAAAGAGTGTTACCTTTTCTTCTCTTTCTGCCACTCTTCCACACCAGTGATACAGTTTTAGTGGTGCTTCTTAAATGTCAACAATATTGAAGTATAAATACAAACAGACACAATAATTACTTTTATGGATATTAGGAAAAAGGGAAACCAGTGGTTCTGGTAATCCTTACAGAATTGCATGTCAGGTATTTTCTGTTGCTTGTTTCTAGGTGGATCATTGTTGACGTTCTGAGTTGCCTTGGCTATATTCATGCTTACACAGTCAGTCATGCTTGGTTGCCTTGAAAGTCCTGTCCTTGACAGTCAACCTTTTGTGTTGCCTGTGATGTGTTTCTGCTTTGAGATTATCAAAAGAAAGGGCTTTCAGAACTCTCTTCACTTTCAAGTAATGTCAACAAGGTCGGACTTGAGTTTAGGAAATTCAGCTCTGTTAGTCTAGCAGGCATTAACACAAATAATAAAGTACAGTCATCATTTAGTGTATATGAACGTCATCTCCTGCCAACTTTTCATTTTTCGAAATTGTGTCATAACAGCAGGGTCACATCAGCGCATACTGTCTTTGTAAAACCTACAAAACCAGTCCGAACGCCCGCAGACTTTCCCTGAGTCATGACAGAGTTAACAACCTCGAAACCTGCTGAATGTCAGTTTCACCAGACGTGTAGGGGCCCTGTTTTCAAAAGCAAGCTCAAAATAAAACGGGAGACGAGAGATGGACCAGCTGAAGCACCAGCAGCTTCTCTCCTCACCTCCTGCTACCATCGCCTCGGTTGTCAGAACAACGATATTGCACCTCTCTCAATTTGTATGCACAGCCTGATATCAGGTTGGCTTCTGTATCTGTCTTTTTCGCCCTCCTTTTTAAATAAACAGAGCACATTAGCATCCATAGAAAACAGGTAAACCATAATCTTTCCTAGTTTTAAGGGCCATCTGAGATTTCCAGAACCAACACGGTGAAGCATCAGATTGAGTTTAAACTTAAAAGAATGATGTTGACATTTGGTAGTGTACAACTCAGATGATCCAAGATGTGTTTAATAGTCACTGGATAGCCTTAAACTAAAAAGAGTTGAGGTTGGATATTGTAAGTCATTACTGGAATATTGAAATGTATAACTGCCGAATATCAGAAGTTACTTTTTAATTAGTGCTGAATAATATGCAAAAACTAAATTGTATTATGATTACCTTGACAGATATTATGTTTGCCCATCTTTGAGGGAAATTGCACATTTCTTTGCACCAGCAAAAAAACAGATAAAATGTGATTTTTGCTGCAGGCTGTATCAAGCATGTTCCCTTCTGCAGAGTTTGATTCGTAGGCTGGGTGTCTCTGTAGCACCACAATGCTTCATTTGTAATGACATGCTGTAACACACACCTAAGCTTATCTTGGTGAAAAACTGCAGCTCCAGTGATTTGGATGTTGCACTCGGCTATATTGTGATTTTGATAAAATTTCAATAACTGTTAAGCACTGTGTTAAATGTCTTGACCAATATATTATTGCTCTTGAGTTTTACACCCCAGCTGCGATGTCCATCAGCTGATTCAGACTTTAGTGTCTCAGCAGCTATCAGATGAGTCTCCCTGAAATTTTGTGCAAATATTAATGTGTCATAGAGGATAAATCTTTGTGACTTTGCTGATCCCTTGACCTTAGCATTAGCACCATCATCTGGTTTTCATTTTTGGCTTTTGATTTTTCAACAGTGGATGTATTGCCATGTCCTATAGGAGCTTTTGCAAAAAGCATTTGGGCTTCTCTGCTATGAGACCTTTTAACTCTCGTCCAAAAGACTTCACCAGTTCTAACTGACTAATTGGGAGCTTCAGATGTTTAATTTAGCGCCATGATCAGGCCAAAAATTGAAATAATTGTCCACTTTGGTTTATGATGAATTAACTGCAAAGCTAATGGCATTCCAATTAGAAGTGTACCATCTGTTTTAGTGCTAATTGGCAAAATTCTGAATGAAAAACACAAACATTCTCTGTGCTGAACATCAACATTGTTATTGTGAACTTGTCAACATGCTAATGCCACTGTGCCTTAAAACAACTTCACAGGGCTGTTAAAGTACACGATCAAAGAGTCTAAATTATTAATTTGATTTTAAGTAGAAAAATATACATATTATACAGTGAGTAGTTCTGAAATTTTCACACAATCCCGCAGCTCAACAAGAATGATAATGACCCTGACATCGGCTGGTCATTGCTGTCCAGATATAAAAGATGACTACATGATTTTACTCTGTGGGTTTATTGTCACCAATGTGTGAAATCTGCAGTGATGTGTGCTTCACTCTGTCTAAAACCATTCTGATCAGTCACACAAGAATAATAGTATGGATCTCAGGAAAGACCAAGAATATAGATTCAAGATGATAATATATGCTGGTACTTTATGATTATTATATTTTTGTAATGGTCAAATTTACTGAGTATTTGCATGAATTAGTAACCGCCACAAGCCTTAGGATTTATATGGAGGCTAAATGAGAGCTTTTCAGTTCATCATACTGTTTTATATTTAATGTTTTTGATCAGACTTTCCCAATATCTCTGCACAGTGTTTTTCAAACAACCCACAGATCCTTACATATCCCAGGATGATTATATTTATCTCCATATGCTGGCCTTCTAGGCCACATCTGTGTTCTGTAATGAATTATAGCAAACATACCCACTGGGATCATGAGCATGTTCTTTGCCCTGAGGAGCTCCTGACAGTGAAACTGGCTGTAGATCATAACAGCTCTGAAGATGGTAAAAGAAACCTTTCGCCCCTCTTTACCTTTAAGCACAATGTTTCCATTGTTTGTGCTGCCTTAAAACCTCAGAGCTGGGGGAGGTGAATGACATTCCTGTGACACGTTGAATGGCTTTTCTCTGTGGCTACTAGACAAGGGCAAACACTGCCTGCCTCTCATTTAGCCTTCTGTCAGTAATCTGTCTGTCATTGGAGTCGCTTATAGTGTTTTTTTTTGTTTTTTTTTTAACCCTGAGTGGAAAAAGTCTACACACCTGTAGAGCACTCTCATGCAATCAGCCAAGTTTGAGGGCAAGTCAGTGTGGCTATATATTTTAGATGTCTCAGCCATTTAAAGAAAATTGCTTTTTTAGTTGTAGATCCATTATTTCAACACTGATTTAGCTGATTAGTTCTGTTGTTAGGTGTTTGTTGGCAACCAAGTCTAATCAGTGATTGTGTTAACACCAGTGTTTACTCTAGTATCCCAGTTATAAGGCCCTTCCCAGTTTTGACCATATTCAGAATAGGATGTTTACATGGAGCACAAAGAAATCTGGTCATCTACATCCTTGTATACATGATAAGTACTCTTGTTCTGGTTACTGATTACTGCGTGCTGTTAGCGCCTTCACCTGTGTTGTTTACAATACAAGTCGGAAATTAATGTGACATTCCTGTAACAGTTAGACCTAACATTAAATTAATTTGACTGTGGCTATTGAGGCTTAAAGCAGGCTCAGCACTGTGAAACGGCAACATCTGGTTGCGGATTTGGCTTATCCACCTTATTGCCAGCAATGGGAGACAAGACCAGCAGGAAATACTCTGTGTCAAACTGGAATTATGTCTGTCACTGTCACTTCCACCGTGTTGGACGAGAGAGAAGAGGATGAAGACGCACAGCTGTGACTGATGGGATAGTGTCATTATGATGGAGTTCAGTGACTGCGAGTGGAGAAAAGATTTCTGTGTGAGTAGGGCATCGTTTTCCCAGCTTGGGTGGCATGGTTAACTAGATTAAACAGCAGTAGAAGCATCAGTTCCACGTTCGATAAGAGTGGCCATGTCGTAGAAACTGGGCAGTTGTGGGAAATTTTGCATGCTTTGTGTTTCTGCTCGCTGAAGCCACGGCTGTGCAGGTGGTCAGCAGCGATCAGAAACTAGGATAAGGTGTGTACATACAACACTACCACGATTTCTTTTGGAGTTTTCAAGCTAACGTAATCAGGATTCACAAAACTGGAAAAAGGGATCATTCATGTTTCTGAAT